TTTTTTTTTGCTAAAAAAGTTTAAATTTTAAAATTCTTTTGTGATTTCTACATGCTTTAGTCATGTTTAAGGAGGTCTTCCCTTATAATTAATCATACTCTTTTCATACAACTGTGATATTTACATGCCCATGGTTCTCATTGATTTGGAAGTTCTTTATGGCAATTCTCATTGTCTAGAATTACTTTAAAACAGTAATATTTTTATTTTTATTTTTTATTTATTTATTTATTTTTTTTGAGACAGAGTCTCACTTTGTTGCCCAGGCTAGAGTGAGTGCCATGGCGTCAGCCTAGCTCACAGCAACCTCAATCTCCTGGGCTCGAGCGATCCTTCTGTCTCAGCCTCCCGAGTAGCTAGCCCGGCTAATTTTTTATATATATATCAGTTGGCCAATTAAGTTTCTTTCTATTTATAGTAGAGACGGGGTCTCGCTCTTGCTCAGGCTGGTTTTGAACTCCTGACCTTGAGCAATCCACCCGCCTCGGCCTCCTAGAGAGCTAGGATTACAGGCGTGAGCCACCGCGCCCGGCCAAAAAACAGTAATATTTTTAAATTGTAAAATAAAAAAAGGAGATGTCTGATGGCATTTTCAGCAGCAGACTTCAACATTAGTATATTTCTCAACAAGATGAGAACTTGAGAGGTGAGAACAAGGTACCATTTAAGAAAGGCTGATGTAGTTTAGGAAAGGTTGGTGGTCACAGAGACCTCTCTCACGAAATGATTCTGGGTGATTCTTTGTTTTTTACAGAGATGGGGTCTTGCTATGTTGCCCAGGATGGGAGTGCACTGGCTATTCAAGAGCACAACCATAGCACACTGCAGTCTTGAACTCACAGCCTCAAGTGATCCTCCCCCCTCAGTAATTGGAATTACAGGCACATGCCAACATACTCGGCTGACTCTTTAATCAATTACTGTCACATCTCTTCCTTTTGCTTTCCTCTTCTGTCTGCTTCTTCCTCGGAAGTTTCCACTCTCTGTCCTCACTACGCTCTGCCCACTGAACCCAGACCTCAAATCCACACTCAAAACAATGCTTATGTTTTCAAATAGAACTTCTTCCAGCTCTCAAATTTCCCTCATGGGTTAGTGAAATTACACTCTATAGTCCAAACACCACTTTTAAAGGCTTGGCTCTTTTCTTCATCCTCATTTAAAAATAACAATTTGTGAGAAATAAAATTCAAAGCATAGGTGTAATGCATCCCCTATGACCTCACATTTTTAGGGTTTTTTTTTTTTCTTGCCAACTGATCCTGCATTCATGCTAATTTCCCCTTTTTGTTTCCTTAAAAGTACTTAGTTGTTCCATCAAAAGCCAAAAGAAAAATAAACGATGTTTCTCCTGCAGTGTGAGGCAATAATAACAAACTCCTCCAGCACTTTGAGAACATTTTTGGATTGAGGGGAAAGAAGTTGCCAGTTATTTCTTCAAGAAGAAAAAACCAAAATAGCTAAGTGTCTATGTATAGAGAATGACAAAGTTTTTCATTTGTTTGTTTTCAGCATCTGCCTTTTTTATAAGAAAAAAAAGTAAGCATTAGATCTCAAAGTTAGGGAGAAAAAGTGTGCATGGTTATGAATCCATATATCAGCACCAGAATTATTTTGTCTCCAGATTACCATTTAAATTCCTAAGCATAGAATGATGTGATATTTTTAGGTATTATTTCTGAGTATTATTGAAGTATTGTTCCATACATACACATATGTACACACTCCAACATAAATGTGTATATAAATGGAACACATACGTAACATATATACTGTATACACACACATCTATATGTACGTATATATATGGAAACTAAATAGTGCTTATCAAAAACAATCTCATAATTTGGAAAGAGAAATTGGTTTAAAGCACAAATCAGCAAATCAATTCTCCTCCCCTAGAGAGATGTGATGATTTTAAGGTCCTGAGTATAAATGCTTCTGGCCTTTCCAGCAGGCACAATACCAAGGTAGTGTCTCAAAAGGAAACAGACTTTTGTGGTAGATAACTGTTTTCTTAGCTTCTGGATAACTGTGACCACATTCTTATGAAGAAAATTGTGCCCTATTATGCTAGTTACTTTATTTTTCCAGAGTAGGAAAATCCCACTCTAAAGCACAGGAATTAGGTTCCTAAAGGAAAGGCCTCTTCGTCATTGCCATTAGGAAGGCATCTCTCAAATTGCCACCTATAGTGGCAATCTAGCTGTGATCTCTATATTACTTTGTAGAATCCGGAACCTGTGTGTGTATGTCTGTCTGTCTGTCTGTCTGACAACAGCTTCAAGTGTATTTGCAAAAGCCCAGCAGAATTTAGCTGTGGTTTACCTTAGCCTGTCTTGTCTCGTCTTTTTCATCTCTCTCATCTTTAGTATATTATCACATTATTACTTATCCCCCTATTTAATCAGGCATTTATGAAGTCCCTATTCTGTGTCTGGCACTGTACCTAGTACTGTGAATGCAAAGATTCCTTCTTTATTTATTTCAATTCATACCATTCCATGAAGAATTTGGGATATGGAAACCTAAAGATTCCTGCCCTGGAAGGGCTTACAGTCTTATTTTCTTTGCCATTTCCAGAGAGGCAATTCTGAAAAGTCATCTGCTATTTATAAAATGTCTTATCTTGTTATATAAATATTTCACCTTATTTGGAGCCAAGAACAAAGCACATAAGTCCTCTTGAATCAGTTTTCATAACAGAGCTCTCCTACCAGGCATCATGTCACCAGATATGGATTCAGGCCAGGGCCACCTGTGTTACACTTGTCTAAATATTGGAGTTTGTAATTACACAGGAAGAACAGAGTTCATGTTTCTTCAAGTAGTAGCTCTATTTCCTCTGACATACCAAAAACGTACTGGTATGTGAGAAGGGACCAATGTAACAGAAGTACATGTGAACAACACAGTTGGCAAAGTTGAAATTCTGATATAATTTATCATTATGATTTTAAAAATCAATAGACTTAGAAACTTTGCCTTCTAGCTTCAAAGACTTAAATGCTTGGAAAAGAAGGGTTTATTCCATAAGCCATGGTTGGCCAAGTTGTATCTCTTTTCTTAATATGATCTTTAATTTCACACATACAGAGCTCTTTAGATGACTTACGTGAACACTGGCATGCACATATTTTTAGATATGGAACACTGGAGTCAAATCCTGAGCTCATGGTCTGAACTGATTCTGTATTAATAAAACTGAAGACAAATGACTGGTCTTGATCCTGAAGATGTTTCAGTACATTTTTTTTAACAAAAATTTTAACAAGCATCATTGTGTCTTAGGTTGGGTCATCCCAGAACAGACATTAAGACAAAAATGATTAAAGAATTAGTTTGAAAAATGATCCTGAGAAATGCTAGTACAGGAATAGAGAAAAGAGACATGGAAAAGAATGATGCAGTAGAGATTGTCAGCAGGTCGTTGCCACCATAGGCAACTGGGGCTCCATGTGGCTGGGGAAGTAAACAGTCAAGAGAACGAACCATAGAGTTATCCCACTTGACTGATAAGGTAGCTGGGCTACTTTCCCATTCCCACCCATAATTGGCTAAAGGTTATTCCCAGGGGTACTGAGCCCTCAGAAGAAGAGTCCTAAGTGCCTGTAGTGTGACTCTGTTTGCCCATACTGGAAAGGTGGGTGCCCTGGGAATATGGCTATAAATCAGTTTTTCTGTGCAAACTCTATTATACTGATTTAATTCCTTAATAAGAATACTAATTCTTATTCATATAGAATAAAATCCTCCCTTTTCTAGTTGTTTTCCATTTTCACTTATGTGTTACTATTAATAGAATTAAGCATTTATAGTTTCAACTATTCTAAGTTTTTCTTCCGTGGCTCTTGTTTCTACCAAATCTGATTTTCTTACATCTGAATGTTACTCTGCAGATTTAGGCATTGTCCTTTTTATTTCTGTTTGATTGCTTCCATCAGGAATAACCATTGTAAATTAGATTACAGAAAAGTCGGTATTTTGAGCTATATGTTAACAGTCACTGAGATCATTGGTAGCATTACCCTTCAACTAGTCCAAGATCACTCTATCACTATAACCCAGATCCACCATTTAATTAGTTGTGTGAACATTAGGGAATTTATTTATTATTGATCAATTGATTGATTGAGACAGGATCACGGTCTGTCACCCAGGGTAAAATGCAGTGGCACGATCATAGCTCGCTGTAACATTGAACCCCTGGGCTCAAGCGATGCTCCTGCCTCAGCCTCTCAAGTGCTGGGATTATAGGCATGTGCCCAGCCAACATTAGGGAATTTATAATTTAGCCTTCTTAAGTCTCAATTTACTCATTTGCATAATTGTGCTCATAACAGACTTCCTAACTTCTTTTAGAAGTCAATTAAAGTAAATCCTTTGGAAGAATTTCTGACATAGAGTTAAGTGTTTAATATACTATTATTATTATTTAAGATCATTATAATGATATGTCGATTATTTTATATACTACTGGTTGCTCTGCTGAAAGTATACTCATCATCCATACTATTTGTAAAGAGCAAATGGTTGTGTCAAAATGACTATTAGAATGTCACACTGTAGGGCTAATTATCCTTGCTTGTAGGGTTGTTGCTGGTAAGGCAGTATGTGTGATAAGCCTGGTACTTGGTAGACAAGAAGCACATGCTTTTTCCCTGTTCCTTTCCTTGAGAGGTATAACTTGAGTTGGGAGGATAGGATAAATGATGTTATGATGAGTTTCTAGAGAGCTGGCCTTCCTAGAGGAAGGCCAGTGCATTCTGGCCTAGTGCAGAATGGCTTCAGGTCTACTGATTGACCTATTATATCGGTTGGATATAGTGAAGCATCAATATCCTTTCCAAAATGTCTTCAGAAAGGTGTGATTTCCTCTTCTTATTTTGTGGCTCTCATTCCACAACCAGCACGGATACTCTATGTGTTACTTATGAATATGAGCTTAGTAAATTGTTTCTGTAAAGTCTGTGCCTTTGTTTTGTGTTTTTGCTTTTTAGATTTGATTGTGGGCGCATTTGGAACAGGAAAAGTAGCTGTTTACAGGTATGTGGTTGGTGGTATGCAAATATTCTCATTGTTTCAAATGCATTTTCTTTTTATGTTGTTAGTTTTGCCTTAAAAAGCATAGTCCAACTATTTATTCTGGAAAATACTTAGATGCTCTTTTTAAAGCCTAGAAGTATTTGTTGCTCTCAATGTTTAGACCTTTCTTTTCTCCCTTTGTATTTTTATTCTCATATTGCATGACCAAACTTCCAGATCTAATAAACATAACATTAAATAAGATATGAAATTCAGCAGATCTCACAAAATAACCATTTTTAAATGTTACTGTATTTGATTTCTTCTCTTTGCTTTGGAAATGCATTGAAATGTTCACTTGTAAGTAAGAGGTGCAAGATGGAAAAATGTTACTCTTTACTCTGGTTTCTCTTATCAAATGGGACTCTAAATTAGGGAATAGAACATATGAAGAATGGGTAGCCTCCCAAAGCAAACATAATAGCTATGGATTCAAAGCCTGGCCATTCCATATACTCACTGATTGGTGATCTTGGGCAAGTTTACATAACTTTCTGAGCCTCAGATTTTTTATCTGCAAAACAGTATACCAATACTTACTTTATAAGGTTACTTTAGTTAATATTCAGTGACAATATTCACATAAGTACACAGAATAGTAACTGGTACATGGCACCCAAAATATTTTGGTTCTTTTCCCTTCTAAAAAAAAACAAAAATTTTTTTTAAAACTTCAAGACACTACAAGGTCAGGATTTCCAGACAAAAGGCCAAGAGCATACCTGGATGTACCAGGCATTAATGCTAACCTAGTTAACTCCCAGAGAGATTCTAACGTTAGCTTTCCTCAAATAGATTTTCTTCTTCATCAAACTCAAAGGGGGCTGATTTATACCACCCCCTCCCCACTTCAGGTTCAAAAGAATCAGACAGTTGAAACTCTCAAAGTGTCTGAAGTATAGTGCTTGGATGTGTGGTAGTTAAGAAGGTGCACCACTCAGAGCTGCTTGAAGCAAGACTGACTCAGGATCCAGCTGCCACACTCTGAATCCACTACTATCTTTGTGCCAAGGACATATTTTCCATGAGCTGTGCCCAGCCAATTACTGGTCACAACAAGAACATAAATTGTAGGCCTATTTCTGCAAGACATGGAACTCCACTCAAGGGCAACTTGGGTTCAAAGTTTGAACTCCTTGCCCAGGCTAGTACTTTTGTACCCACCTTCTTTCCTGGCCTCTGTCCCTCTGGGGACCAGAACTTCCAGCCGTGTCTACTCTCTCCCCTTTTTCCTTATAGGCATTTGCCCTCAATAAATCTTTTGCATGTTTAATTCCATTTTATCATCTGTTTTTCCAAGGCCTAGAGCTAACACAGTATCAAACACAAAATTATGTAGCATAAAGGAGCTGAGGAAAAATCCCAGTGGGCCCCACTGTTTCAACTGTTTACAGCAGTGCCCTAAATGACATTCTGCCCCAAGACATATCCCTCCTTTCTGTCGGGAAAACTTGTTATCCAGCATGGTATCATTTCATGCTATCATTTGGGGACTTTGGCTTTCAGCTAAAATATCTTGGAACCAAGCTTTAAAAATTACTTTTTCCCTTTCCCTATGATTGACTCTCTTTTTTTTTGTTATCTATACCTGGGTAGCTGGAATTGAGTTTATTCTGTATAATTCTCTCTCTTCAAAGTTAGCTAATTATAATAGAATCATCTGGAGAGTTTGTTTAAAGTGTCAATGCCTGGCCCTTACCATAGAGGTTCTGGTTCAGCTGGTCTGTCGTGGGGTCTGGACATAGAATTTGTTTTAAAGCTCCTTGGGTGATTATACCATGCAGTCAGGATTAAGAACCACTGCCCTGGGTGACATGCAGAATTATTCTGTAAGTCCACTTTCATGTGTTTGGCTCAACCTGCAAAGCTCAGGTAGAAAATTATCACTAGAAATAAAAAATTATCAATGAGGCAACAAAAATTGTGACATTCACGTACTTACAGACACAAGTGGCTGTTACGGGGATGTATCTCTTTAGCTGTGGACAGAGATATTGTAGCAGATTACAGAGCAGTATTTCACAGCAATATTGTCACAACACCCAGAGCCCACTCCATAAAGAAAGGTTTGTGAATGCAACTCTGTTTGGTGGTCCCCTAGCATGCTTTATTTGTACTCATGTGTTTCGAGGTAATTAGTTGATTGTGCCCACCTGTTCATGCAGTGAGTATAATTCTTGTCACAAAGGCTAGAAATGTTGGCAACAGCCTCCGGAGGTGGAGTTCTCCCTGTGGTGAAGTAGGCTTCTGCGCGTCACTCCTGTGCTTCGCAAACCCTGTGTTTTCTCCCCGCAGAGCGAGGCCAGTTGTGACTGTGGATGCAAAGCTTCTGCTGCATCCCATGATTATCAATCTTGAAAATAAAACTTGCCAGATTCCAGAGTCTTTGACACCTGCAGCCTGGTGAGTTTGTCCAGCACTTCTCCAACTCTACTGTGAATTCACATCACCTGGGTACTTTGTGAAAAATGCAGACTTTGGGTTCAGTAAGTCTGAAGAGACTTTACACTTCTAGAAAAAAGTTTCATGAGGTTGCTGATGCTGCTGGTCTGTGAACCAAGTTTGAGTAGCAAGGGGTTAACTTTTTAAAAGGATCTATGACATGATCTGCTCTTTGCCTACAGATGTATCATACAAAGATGACTTCTCCAATCTACAAGCTCTAGGTTAGATGAAGAGCATAAAAGGCATTTGGGAAAATTCCCGGTGAAACATACCTTGAAGATCCCTTTTAGATTCATAGTGTACTAAAATAAACATTAACCAAAGTCAAAATGCCTTGCCTCTTGCATTTGCATATGCTTATAGATACTGCTTTTCACATATGTAATGCCACTTCTTTAAACAGTCAAGGGTTAAATTACAGTTTCCTGTGCTGACAACATATGTCAGTTCTGTAACTTATCACCTACAACTAGACAGAAGAAAAACATTATAAAAGTAGAGATTTTTGTGCCCTCAACTGTATTTTGTAGCCATCATGAAGAATAGCAGAATTCTTCCTTTGCCTGGACCATAGAAGCTTTGCCTAGACTTTGAGAAGTCGCATAAGCCATATTCTTGTGAATCATGTCAGTCGCCTAAACAGAGTGCCACGTGGAACTTGACTGTAACACAGATGAAGAAAATACCTCTTTGTTTCTCAATATGCAGGACCTCAAAGGTCAGAAATCATTATGTTGGATAATATCATCAGGGTACATTCTCTGAAAATTTAACAAATCCTTGGGGTGTTTGAGATTTGCCTTTAATTTCCAGGAGATATGCTCTAACTCAGAAAGCATGGTTCCTGAGAATGTTAGAATTGCACAACAAACCAGTCTTGACCCAAAGAAGTTACTTCCAGCGAATTTTAGCATGTTGTTGATGGCCTTCTGACAGGAGTTCATTGTGAGTCAAAGCTTTTGAGGTGGTGGGTAGGAGAGGAGTAAGGATGACCCTGAAGGATTCTTTGAAAAATATATCCTACTGCTGGGAGACGGTTGTAGGAGGAGTTAGGAGGCATGTCCTGTCCTTTAACTGCTTTTGAAAGTAGTTGGGAAATGCCCCGGGGCACATTTTTAAATAGTTTAAAACCATAAAATAGTATAATGAAAACCTGATCTGAGAAAGTATGTGACAGAGCCAGCATTTTTCCTTACCCTGGCATGATTAAATGACTAGTAAATGAACTGTGAAAGCTGCTACTTGATCATGAGTATTAAAACTCCAGTATTTTCCGCCAAATAGTCTCGTGTTCACACCTACACAACTGAATGAACTTCTATGCTGCATTCTTTGATGCATGTGGCACACTCTGGTATAGAATGTTTTTGTTTTGAACTAGATAATTTTTTCTAAGTGTTTTTAGTTTGGATATTTTTATAAGATTGAAGTGGTTTTAACAGATTATGGGATATGTTTAGTTTTATGGAAAGAATATTACTTTTTAACAAGAAAATGTCTTTCATTTCACGAGCTATTCTCTTGTTGCATTAAATCATATTAAGATAAAATGCAATTTGTTATGTGGACAAATGTATAATATATCCCTTTACAATTATTTGTTTTATTCTATTTCATGTATTTTCTGAAAGATGTTTTATTTTCACATGCAAAAGTTTTGAATAGTGCCTCAGAGTATCAGAAAATAGAAAGTTAACAGCTGGTTCAGTCTAGAATATGTCAAACATGTTTCTTTGATTCTTTTTTTTTATTCTAGGAATTTAGCTTAGTTTTTCTGAAATGATTGAAAGGCCTCTGTTGATTTTCTTTGCTGTTATTTCTGTCTATATTTGATATAACCTTGTATCGTACATCTGAAAACTATTATGTAAACTCTAATTGGAAAATAGTTCTTGACGTCCATCAATGTGGATTTCTGTGTCTTTCAAACAGCTGTGTAGTTTTATAAAGTATCTTCTTGGCATTTCTAAGTTAGAAAAAGAAAAAAAAAAGCCAGCTCAATAAATATTAACATAATTGGTTGCTAATCAATTAGAGAAAGAAAAATTATTTAGTGAAAATTTTCATTTTATAAATGTAAAAGTCAGTCACTATCCACTTGTCAAACCTGCTTAAAAAAACCTCTGTGGGTATGAGTGACTTTACATAAAATCTGATATTTTCTATCACTGAAATAGGATTGAATTGGTGAGAATGAAAATAAATTGCTTTGTACTTTTAAGTCATGTTTCACATTTAGCTCATTTCCCTCCTCATCATACTTGGCCATGAGCACACGCACATAACAGAATCATTATTCCAACTATGCTTCTATTAAGACTAGTGGTAGAGGTCACAAGTGTATTGTCTTGCCTTCTGACCATATCAGAAGCACTGACCACAAATAGTTTTATTTAGAATTTATGCAATGAGGGACTTTGATTTCATGTTTTTTGTTCCAATCAGATCTATTTAGACTAATGAGCTGAAGTGAATATGACCATACATTCTAGTTTGAAACTTTAAAATTTAAATACAGATTTATACTGACATACAATTCATAAAACAAGAGTAACCCATCAGCTAGAAAATCATTAATCAATCAAATGCATTCTCACAAAGAGGAACTGATGTTTACTTTTATAGTTTGGATTTATTCCTTTTTTAAAAAATGTTATTGCTTTTGAATTGTGTTAAAAATACTCTATATAAAATGATTTTAATTGATATGTGTTAAGTTCATTACACATAGGAATTTATCTTATAAAAGGCAATGAGCTTTGTCTACTCAATGTAATGATAAATAGATTAGAAAGGTCAATGGATGATTTTAACACATAGCCAAGTACTTCCAAAGGAGTTGGATACAGAAAAATTCTAATTGTGAAAGCCAGACTTACTACAGAATTTAAAGATGTGATTAACTATTGGCCTTTCTTGAATAATTCTAATTGAAGGAGAAATGGGTTGGAATTTCCTATTTCTTTGGGGAAGTGGAATAAACACTTGTAATAGCATAGACATTTCAGGAAACTTTTGGCTTAATGGTATGTGGCAAATTATTTACCCTGAAGGGAGACATTGACTGAGGTCATGGTACATAGATGAATCCCAGATGTGACACTTTTTCATTATGGTTGACACAGGAAGCTGACACATAATTAAAGTATGATTAGGGATTATTTACTCCTTTGAATTCTGTAGAAATAGTCAAATCATACTATAATATTTTACTAGTAAAAATTTTAAGACTGTCATTAAATCATATGTAAGTATTTTTACTTTCTCAGAAATATGGAAAGGCCCCATCTCTAATGCCGCCTATTAGGGCTTGGAATTTTTCAGGAGGGAGGTAAGCACATTCATTCAGCAAACTCAGGCAGAGACAACTGGCCATTTCGCATTCCTTCCATGGCCATGGACCAAAGCTAAGTGCAGGTCATCCTACAAGCTAATGTAGACATTTCCTTGGATTGTGGTCAGCCCATGTTCAAGGCAGAGCTGCAAAGTATCTCTCATGGTCCTCTATCCTCTCTTTTTTGTCTTTATACCCATAGCATTCCACCCACCTAGCTTGACACAGACGCTTTAAAGCTCCTTATTTTCTCACTTTCTCCCATTCCTTTTATCCTCTTTCCCCCTACAGGCTTATACCACCCCTAGAGCAAATTTCCACCAAGCTCCATCTCCTTCCAAGCAGAGTGAATGACTGCAGTTAAGCATACCTTGGTGCTCTGTCCTTCTCAGAATTAAACCCACATTCTTTATCATAACTTTCAAAGCTCTCTTCCCACTGATTAACCAAGCCAGCCTTACCTCCCACAACTTCCCCAACTTGTTCAGTGCTCCAACCACAATGAATGTCTTTAGGTTCCTCAAATGGGGGCATGTTCTTACTCACCTTGAGATATTCTCTAGCTATTCTCCTGCTGTGCTGCCTAATTCTTCTTTCCCTGTCAACATAGAAGATATTGATATGTATTTTATTGAATAAAGGCAAAATTAATTGATTAAATCAATTAATCTCTTATGTTTTTAGTTGTTAACTTTTCACATAATAATGTCACCTGTCTCAATTGTATTGGTGTTGTGAAAGATATATGTGTGTATATTAATAATCAGAAGTATAGAGGAAAAATGATGCATTCATTTCATCTGGGATGAAGTAAAGGAAAATTTTGACTTCAGATTCAAAACTTTATTAACTAATAAATTATTGACTATTATTTTTCATAGCTTTTCTTTAAGAGTGTGTGCATCTGTAGCAGGCCAGAGCATTCCAAACACAATAGGTGAGCATGTTTTTACTTTTACACTCCTATACTGTACTAAGAAAATCGAACAGCAACCATTTCTCTGCATAGACCATTTAAAACTCAAGTGCTTTATCAATACCAGGATTCCTATTGCCTTTGTGGAAACTTCTACGTAAATGTTACTTCAATAGTTGGTGATATTGTCTATACAAACATAAGTATGAGGAAAATGACAATTTGTGTAAAACCATTATAAAAAATTTTTAGCTTAGAGAGTATTTTATAAAATTTTTTCAGTTCATGTATATTTGATTCTAACAATAAAAAAAAATTTCCTGAATAAGAAACTTGAAATGAGAATTTATCTGACAGAGCACTGTATTCACTGAATACTCTTCCTCTCCTGATTATATTTAATTTCTTTCTGTTCTTTAGCTATGGTGGCTGAGGTGCAATTAGATTCCCTGAAACAAAAAGGGGCCATTAAACGAACACTCTTCCTTGACAACCATCAGTCCCATCGTGTCTTCCCTCTTGTGATAAAGAGGCAGAAACCCCTCCAGTGCCAGGATTTTATTGTTTACCTTCGAGTAAGTGTTCCAGAAATGACTTTTCTGGCCTTTCACATTCATATCCAAATTCCAACCATTTTTCTCCATTTAACCATCTTACGTGTCTGCATAGATCCATCAGTTTATTTCCATTTTTGTAGGAGGAAACTTGATTTGAAGGTCAAATGCTCTCTTCATGACCCTGACTTCAACTAACCTAATGATGTGTTGCTATGAATTTCTAAGGCTTCTTTTTTGTTTTGAACAAAATCTTTGTAAGGGCACTCAACTCAGATGGTTTTCATTTCTAGCCACCTCCTCCCCACAAAACATAAAAGTTCAACATAATTTATTTGAATTTTTCTCCTATGTGAGTCTGTCTTGTTAGATTTTATCAATGTGCATTTCAGAACCAACTCAGGAAAATATTTAGGCATTCAAAGCTTTTATTAAAAGTAATTTACAATTATTTTTAAAGTAATGTATTTTTCCAATAACTCTAAAACCTAGCATGAAATTTAAAAATTGAAAATATTGATAACATAATGATCTTTCTTCGCCTTGGCAGTTGTTAGGTTGTGATCTTCCATTCTCATTTGCTCTCCTCCTTTAAGGAACTTAGCAAGGGGAACCACAGGTTTACAATCACACTCAAGAATGAAGAGTTGGGCACATGAACCTTATGTCTTACAATGGCCTTGATGGGCACGCAATTGAAGGATGACATATCCTCTGTGTCCCTTGTGCTTTCTGCTTGGTACTCAACCCTCTCCCCTGGAGGAGTTCTGTTACTTTTTCCAAGGGAACATCAAGTACACTGAAGGTGTTTTGAAGTTCATGCAAGTAAGAGCTTAAAAAACTGCTAAGAGAGGAAGGGAACCAAGATGTTTTCTTCCTCTGAGCCCAAGAGTCATACAATGTGACAACCTCATGAAAACAAAAGTCCAAATTCATTATGGGTTTTGTGACATTTATGGTATATAAATGCAATCTTTTACTTTGCGAATTGACTGATTCTGTGTGAGTTGCTGAAGGTCTGGACAACCCAAAGATTACCTCTGGAAGCATCTTTCACTGAAGCCATGACTCTAAATGATTTCATTGCAAAATGTATATTAATTACGCTGGCTACTATATACCACATAAATCTGCATGCATCTAAGCCTGCTGCAAAGATAATTGCTTCATCATTCACTTTAACTGAGTAACAGCAAGTGTTGCCTACCTTTTCATAGACTGACATCTTGCAGCTATTTCGTGGAGCCTCTCTGGAGTTTGTGATTATTTTTTCTAGGATGAAACTGAATTCCGAGATAAATTATCTCCAATCAACATTAGTTTGAATTACAGTCTGAATGAATCCACCTTTAAAGAGGGCCTGGAAGTGAAACCAATATTGAACTACTACAGAGAAAATGCTGTTAGTGAACAGGTAAGTCATTGGTGATCTTTCTCAAGCAAGCTCTGGGGTGGGGGTGGGAGGATTGTTCCTGTGGTCTTAAGATGAAAGTCAGTTCCTTTTTATTCCTGCACACAGACATGTAACATTTGGGAGTTTTTCCTAACATATTTCCTGAAACACTGCATCATTGTGTTTTTCAGAAGCCCCTCCTCTTGTGCAACCAAGATTTAATTTGTTCAAAATGTGACTGTAATGGAAGCAACACAGCCTGTAATCCTCAAAACATTCCCAGAGTAGCATTCTTTGCAGACATTTCAGACTGCATTGAAATTGGGCTATTATGTAAACTAGCCTATATTGGGAGGTCACCATCTAACATAGGATATATTGCTGGGCAGAGTCATGCATAGTGAAATGAAAGCTTTGGTTTAATTTGTGGAATTGTTCAGATTTTTCAAGAGAAAGGATGTGATTCAGGTTTTCCCAGGTTGTTCCTGATGCATGTTTGCACAACACAGGCTCACATCCTGGTGGATTGTGGGGAAGACAACCTCTGTGTTCCTGACTTGAAGCTGTCGGCTAGACCGTAAGTCTAAATAAATAAACGTGTGCATTATATCTAATGGAATACAGGTGTTTATTTAAAGCTTGTTAAAGGAGACAGTATGCACTTCCAATGACTACAAAAAAATATGCTGCGTGAAATTCTTGAGCTTAGCTACGCTTTAGATTAGCCTGTGGTTTGGGTCAGTTCTTTTTCATTAGTGTCGAGTGACACACCCTAGGATTCTGCCTGGGCCGTTTCATCTTTCAGCAAAAGTGGAAAAAAAATGTTTTTGTTAAAAGTAAACTCATCTATGGGGTGGCTCGGGTTGTATTTACTTGCCTCAGTCAAGTAGGCAAAGGCTGGTTCCATCTACACCTTAATGAAACTGGTTTTTGCAGCATTCCTTGATTCAAAGTCATCCTTAAAATGGTCAAAATAAAATTAATTTTAATTTACTCAAAAATAATAACTTACATGGCACTCTATGGAGTAAAGCAGAAAGGTGTCACAAAATCAAATAAGAATCAAAGGGCTTTACAGTTGCCAGTAATGGACAGCCTTACTCCAACACTGGAATTTATACTATGTTACATTAATAGAAAGATACAGAACTAAGAGGTAAAATATCCTATGGTATAAAAAGCAGAATTGTGCTCCTTTCTTTCCCATGAACTATCTCACTAGCGTGTCTGGAATCTGCTTGGTAACCCCCCAGAGGGACTTTTCCCAAATTTCATTATTTATCAAATGTCATAAGGCAATGGCTTTGAGTAAGGTTCAAAAGTGGACGAGGCATTTCCAAATGCTGATTGGGTTTGTAGTTCAAAGTTAATTAAGTTTCCTCAGAAGAACTCAAAATGCTCTATCAGCTGTTTACGATTTAATTTTATCTATTTCTTACCTCTTACTACCCACTTTGCATTAATCTCCTCCTCTTGCTTTCAAAACCATCTTTCTTCCTTTTTTTTTTTTTTCCATTGTTCATTTTCTTCTTAAGGTATGTTTCCAGGGATGTGCAGCAGGTGCCTCATTCCAGCTTGTAAGCCAAATGTAAAACTTGTAGGAAACTTGTTAGCAATTATTACACAGGTTGGTAGCCTGAAATTGATCACAGTGGGTGGATTTACACCACTGGAATCTGAAAATGCCATATTATAAATCAATACTTTTGGTTTTTGAGAACTGGCTGTTAAAAATAAAACCAGCACACCACTGGGTGTTTTCCTGCCCTTATTATCCAGAAATGATTCTTTTGATTCTTCCCGTCATCTCTTCATGATAATCCAGCTTCTTTTTTGTCCTGTCTTGTATTTGCCATTTTCCTTCTTTTCCTCCCAGATATATTCTTAATAAAAATATTCAGGAAGCCAGAGAAGTAGAGTTATCTCATAAATCTTTTTTTTTTTTTTTTTTTGAGACAGAGTCTCGCTCTTTCCCCCCGGGCTAGAGTGCCATGGCATCATCACAGCTCACAGCAACCTCCAACTCCTGGGCTCAACCTATCCTCCTGCCTCAGCCTCCCGAGTAGCTGGGACTACACGCATGCGCCACCATGCCCGGCTAATTTTTTTTCTATACATTTTTAGTTGTCCAGCTAATTTCTTTCTTTTTTTTTCTTGGTAGAGACGGCGTCCCGCTCTTGCAGAGCTGACCTAACAATTCTTTTGAAACTGCATTTTCAGAGATAAGCATCAGGTCATCATTGGAGATGAAAATCACCTCATGCTCATAATAAACGCAAGAAATGAAGGGGAAGGAGCCTACGAAGCAGAACTTCTCGCGATGATCCCGGAGGAGGCGGACTACGTGGGGATCGAACGCAACCACAAGGTAATGCCGGCCAGTTACCTGAAGTAAATAAAGAGCTAGGTACATCTGTGAAGTGAAATGAATGTGAAGTAGGGCCATTTTGACTGAAAGGTGCTTCCTGCATAAAACAGAGCAAAATGGTACCTGTTAGAATGCCGACGGGGAGCGCACGAGGCCCGGGAAGGTGGGGAAAAAAAGTTTACTTCAAGGCGCGCAAACGGACTAACCGAGGCAAAGATGGCGTCAGCTCCTAAATGGCGGGGGCGTCTGGGGCTTTTATAGTTGGGTTTGGGCGGGCTCTCAAAGGGGCGGGGTTTGGGCGGTCCCTCCAAGGGGGCGGGGCCAGTTTAAAGGGAAAGTTCCCCCCCTCCCCCATGGAACCTCCCACCAGCCTCTGGGTTCAGCCTAAGGGTACCTCACCTTGTTACATCGTCATAGCGGTGAACCAGGAAGGGGGATGGGCTTGCGCAGTGATAATGTCTTTCTTGGCCACAGTGCAAAGATAAATTGGCCTGAGACTGAGAGCTGAAACAAGGAAGAGAACAAAACCGGCTAAAAGAAGCAGCTTACCAGTCAGTGCAATCCATCAGCTAAATTCCCTTCTCCTCCCTGGCTTTTCTAGCCTAGTGTTTTGAGTTCCTTTTCAGTTTCCAGCGGCGAATGGAGGCCTGGTTTTCAGTATTGGCTGGGGAAGAAGATCCAACCAGTCCTGTTGGGCCCTGGTAACCGCCTGGAAGGGAAACAAGTTCATTTTTCTTTCTTCTTGGTCCCCCTTGTCAGAATGGTGACCAGGAAGAGCCTGGCCTTCCTCATGTGCCAGTGCTCAATGCCACTGTTTATTAGAATGACAGCAGGGCTATTTACAATCTTTGCTTTTATGACCGGAAGAGGAATCTTCCCGCTCAAAGTATATAGGCAGGTTCTGCAGTGTTCTTAATCGCTTGGTCTAGAAAACCATTATAAACACATTATGGAATAATAGAGAGAGTCCCTCAGTTTCAGAAATATGTATAATCACGATTAAGGGTAAAGAGCAAATTTTACCTTTCTTTCACAGGACTAAGAGCATCATACATGCTCCTTAAATATTTGCTGATAGATTTGTTCATTCAACTAAAATGTATTAAAGGACTCCTGGTTTCCAAATACTGCATCCTCTGAGGGCCTTGATGGAATATTAGAATATTAGACATTCTAATGATCGATTACCGTAACCAAATGTTAATTCCTCCAAAGAGATGTTAACTGTTGTGATGTTGGTGGTTTTTGAGGCATTTAACAACTTAGGGAATATAAAATTCTCTAGTCACACATCTAGTCCCATGGTTTTCTTGTTTTAGTTGAATTATCTTCTCAATAAAACAAAACCTAGAGTAACAATCAAGTATCTGGACAATCACTTAAAATTATAAGTTTCTGTTGAAGAAATTTATAGAAAAAAAAAATCTCCAAACTCATCCAGTTGTATACACTGAATAGGTAGAGCTTTATGTATGTCAGTCATATCTCAATAAAATGGTTTCAAATAAATCCAAAAATCTTCTAACTCTTCTATGTTAGCAGTGATCTTGAATATGGAGAAAAAATCATTCCACTTCTTTTCAAGAGTGCTTGCAACTCTCCATCCTGCTTTTATTTCTCTTCTATTTCAGACATGAAAATCAATTTAAACCCTAATTTCTCCAGTGAATGGTTTATAATCATCCGATTTTCATCTTTCTTTAATTATGTGATTTTATCCTCATTTCTCTATAAAGTTACTTCAAGATTAAAAACATGAGAATCAATGGAGCACTTACACATACAGCTTACAAAGATGATGATTAATAATTATTTTGACTTTAGAATGTTGTCTCATAATAATATCTCTACCAGCAAAAAAAAGAAAAGAAGAAGGAAAATATCACCTATAAGTACTTCCATGCAAATAATACATAAACAAATGCAAAAATAAAGCTCAAGTATGTAATTTTTAAAAAGTGTTTCAGGGTTCCACTTGTATTTTTATTTCAATTCCCTTCTTGTCATTCCAACCCTGACTTTGTTAAACAAAGCTTCTATTCTAAAATATTCTTCTTTCAGCAAAACATCCAGTTTACTGTTCACATTTTTGCATGGAAAACATGGGAGAGTGCTTATCATTCTATCTTTGGCCGGAAACATTACAACAGACATTACCCATAATCTCAAACGAGCCCTTAACTATTTTTTTTCCTTCATCGATTTCCCTGGGGCAGAGACTTAGTCTTTGAATTTTACATGGCTAAGCCACATTCCAAGTTCTTCTTTGTTTTCAAGCAGTTTGAGGTTTGTGTACCTTTTTATTTAAACTCAGGTCAAGTTGGTTTTTTACAAACAATGTTTTTCTCAAGGGGAAAAGTCTTAGGAATTATCTGATTGTAAGTTGTGCTGTTCTTTGGTTGAGATTCATCTTTTAGAAAATGTCGATGTTAATCATCTCTTTAGAAACCATAATTGAGCCAGCCTTTATAGTTCCCTTCAGTGACCTTTCTCCTAAATTTTTTCTAGGAGTAAAAGTCTATGTGCTTTATCTTTATTATTAACATCATCATCATTATTATCTTGGTGACATAAAATGTATCATTTTAACCATTTTTATGGATGCCGTTTGGTGGCATTGCATTCACATTGTTGTGCAACCATTATCTATCCCCAGAACTTTTTTTTTATCATCCAAAACAGAAACTGTACTTCTTAAAAATAATTCCCCATTGCCCCCTGTCCCCAGGCCCTGGCAAGCACTCTTCTGCTTTCTGTCTTTATGAATTTGGCTATTCTAGGGACCTCATGCTCATCTCCCTTCAATCTCAAACAGCCACCTCTCTTCTACCACGTCCATAACTAGACTCTTGGTCTTCCCACGGTCACGCCCCTCTTCCCTGCATCTCCTATCTCCGAAAATGGCACCAGCATCCCATTGGTTTCTAAAGCCTAAAGTGAGTCCTAAATCTTTCTAGTTCTACCTTCTCTCCATCCACGTACCGCCATGCCACCTTCACCCAGGCTGGCATGATCCTTTGCCAAGATTGTTGCAAGTCTCCTGCTTTATCTCCCCATCTCTCTGCCTGCAGCCCCTTCCCTGCAGAGACAACCGTCTTTGCAAAATGCAAATCTGAGTATGTCACTCTCTTGCTGAAAACCTCAACAGCTCTGCATTGCCTTTAGGATAAGATCCAAATCCTTCAGGTGCCTGGGAGACCATTAATGACATCACCCCTGCTCACCGCTTCAGCCTCATGGCTAGTTGTTGATCCTGTACCCCCACACCTTAAAGTCCAGCTGGACTGAATTTCTTTTCAGTGCCTGTAATGTCCCTCTGCTCTCACCACGTTATCTTGTTCTGGCTGTTCCTTCTTCCCACCACATCAACTCTACTCCCTCATCCTCTTTATCTACCTTACTTCTTTCGACTTCTTTCTACTCACCTTTCAAATAATAATTGAGACTTAATAATAGTTGAAGATTAATAGTAGTCAAAAATGCTCACGTTTATTGAACAATTACTATGGGCTGGGTACTGTTCTAAGTTCTTGCATGTATTTAATTTATTTAATCCTTATAATGCCCTTTGAGAGAAACTTCTCTCATTATCCTTATTTTATGGATAAGAAGAAATTAAGTAACATGCCCAGAGTTGTATCATTAATATGTAGCAGAAACAAGATTCAAACGTCAGCTGCTAGGTCCAGACCCCGTTTTTAACCACTGATCTACACTGCCACCAGCCAAGATGCTACTTCCTCCAAGATGCCTTCTCTGATTGCTTGAATCTATGCACATGTTTTCCTTTTCCTTTGTCATTATTTATTTCTCCTATCATAAAACGTACCAAACTCTACTGTAATTGCATGTTTCCATTGCTTGTTACAATTACTTATAATTACTTGTTACAATTGTTATAATCATTAAAAAACTCAGTGAAGAGAAGTGGTCTTATTTATCAGGGTCTGTAAATAGCAGGCCTGCAGTTGATATTTTCAGTGAATGAATAATACTCTGAGCTATAAATGGATTAGAACAAGAATGTCCCTGGAACTGCAGAAGAAAATAATCTAGAAATATCTAGAAAAACAGCCATTGTTTCACAAGAGAGAGGAAATAAAGGTTAAAAAAAGAAAAAGGCAGAGGGGGTGTGAGAAGGAGAAAAGAGCTTTGATTGATGGAAAAAAAAAAACTATTTCTATGAATAGAAAGCTGGAAAAAAATATACATTTAACTTTCAGCCTTTAGGTAAGATAAAAATATCTACTGTAGAAACCAAATCCTTGAATTATATTCAAAGGACACATGGGGACTTTTGAAAACTTTTGCTGGGTGATTCTTTTCTGTTTTTGTGATTGAATTAGTAATCCCAACACAAAACATCTCTGTATCGTTAAGGTTAGTTATGGGTTCTTAAGAAGTTGCATATATATGTTTTAAACCTCCCTTTGAGAAAAAAGAATATATTACTAGCTTTTTGAAAATATGCATCTTAGCTCCTTCAGTGTAACTAATATGACATGCAGGGTATTTGGAGAAAGTATTCTTCAGTGGGACCTCCAGACATCAGTGACTCACTCCTTTCCCATTAATTAAAAGAGAACTTGCGATGTGTGCGGCTACCTGGGTGATTCTGGGAGGAGGACTTTAAAGTTAGTCACGTGCTTGTCTGTTTCATTTTAGGGTCTTCTTTAAGGAGGAGTGTGAGTTGGTTCTGGTTTGTGTCCCCTGATGTCATCAATTGCTTGGTGCCCAACACTGCTCTAGACACTGTGACTAGAGCAGATGCAAAAACGTCTGCCCTCCTGAACCTTATATCCTCAAAAACGTGTGACTTACCTACAGAATTCTTTAGCCAGATGTCTGGGGTTTGTTTGGTCTTTGTCTGTTTTGGTTTTAGATCTGGACTTTTGTTAACAAAGTAGAAAGAAAGGGATGGAGGATCATTTCTGAAACTTTTACTTGAGAAATTCACATTACTTTCTATCTGAAATTTTCAATAGAGCTGATAGGTGGATAGATGGTCATCAAATCGGGAACTCTCTTCCATGAACCTACCAGAGGAACAGAAATTGCCAAAAGGTTGCTCCTTTGTGAAAGTCCTCGTATTGCAAGCTTGTCTTTGGGGAATGAGAGTGGCAGGTCGTATACTGATGGCATGTTACAAGTCATAGTGAAATAAGGAATGAGCATAAATAGCTACTACCCAAAGCAGAGCAGGGCCAGGCTTTGAAGTATGGGAAAAGAACCCAGGTGGAGAGTGAGGGGTGGATTTGTAGGCAGCTAGGAGTGCGTGAGGACACAGGGTGGATCTGGGTGGGAGCAGAGAGAGAACAGCAGTCCGAGGACACACCCTGACTTCCCAATCTCTTCTACACAACCCTGAGACCTTATCCAGCATATAGTTCCAAGGACCTCTTCAAACTTGAGCTTTTACAAACTTCAATCAGAATAGATATCGGGGAAGTGGGAGAAGATCAGAAGTACTAGTTAAATATAAAGATGTTCTCTTTAAATATTTGAAGGATTGAACAAAATTGATTGTGTTATCTCACAATGGGACTGTGGCATGTAGAAATTTGTGTTCAAGGCAATTCTCTTGCAAATGGTCTTTGAGTGTTATAATAATCCATGCATATTACTGTCGTTTTGATTTTGCAAGACTAACCTAAAGAAACCATTTGTCTACTCATGTTTAATAATTTGTGGTCTTCATGCCCTGAGTTTCATGTTAACACTGGTGAAAATAACGAATATAAATACTGTATTAAGCATTGTCATCCTCAGTGAAAAACTATGAATGTATTTACCATCCTAGTACATTTCTTCCTAAAATTTAATTTCTACCTTTTCTTCTCAAGTTTCTCTTCTGAGAGAATGGTCTCAAAATAATGGTCACAGGTGTTTGACATCAAAAGGTTCCTTCTCAGGCCCCCAGCATTGCTTTTGTGACCGGATGTAATTGATTCTGGCCCCCTGAACTCCATGCTGGTGTTCTTTCCCCTTGTAGGAATTGCGACCACTGAGCTGTGAGTACAAGATGGAAAATGTAACCAGGATGGTGGTGTGTGACCTTGGGAACCCTATGGTGGCTGGAACAAATGTAAGAGAAAACCAGAAGTACTTGGTGATTTCCTTCTACCTGAATTTTGCAGAGAACTAATGGAAAGCTTCCAATTAACACTCAGCAACTCAGCACGTGGCAGCTAAAACAAATTAGGCAGGAAATTACCAGAGTAGTGGGATTTTGCATTCTAACCTACACAGAGCAAATAATCTCAGGTTAAAAACACAAAAAGATGCATGCTTTTACATGCTTTTCTCTTTAGACATTACCCTTATGTGTCTTTTAGTTGCAACAAATCTATGAAGACTTTCTTTTACTGTAGAATTTTTTTCTTCAAATATTTTTTCTTTGAATTTAGCTACAGATTCTTTCTTTGAATTTAAAAATAAATACAGTGGAAAGTAAATGACTTTTAAAATAACCTAATTAAAGCAAAGAGTCTAACAAAGACAATTAAATTAACTTTTATTTCCAACATACCTCCTATATGAATATCATTCACAGTATTTCCATGTTAAAAAATATTACCACAATCCACTTTTTAAATTAGCTTTATCTGGTTTATATTTTCCATTATCTTACTTGAAAAATAATACAGAAAATTGTTGGTAGCTTTGTAGCAAGGGAAAAAAATGTTAACAATGATCTCCAACATGCTTGTGAAAAAATGTGAGTTGTTTCTCTTCCTCCTCCTCCTTCTTTTTGTTTCCAGGTTTTAAAACTTTCCATTCTGGATTACTTGTGGACAGTAAATTTATTTTATGCAATTGCAGTTTAAATATATTCATGGTACCTTCTTGTATTAAATATGACAGTAGCAATTATTTTATGAAGTCATAAATCAGAAAAAAAAATCTGAAGTCTGAAAGTACTAATAACTAAATGTTACATAAATTGAATATACATACTCTTATACTTAAAATTAGATATTTATTTATGGATGAAATGGCCTGTTTGAAAAAAAAATTCATGAGAAGTTATAATTGTATGCTTGTATTAAAACAACTTCTCAAAGCATATTCCAAAGAGCATTAGTCCTTTGAGTTAAGACTTTCAAAGTGAATTCTGTAGTCACTGCTGAGTGTATATCCTTCTCTGGGAGATTCAAGTACACATTTGTTTTTTTAAAGGTGCTGCTCAGTCTTCCAGTAAATAAATCTTTTAGCCCCATGTTTTACACATTTACTTGAGCATTTGAAGCTTTTCTCAAATAATACCTGTTCCCAATTTATATTTTAGGATATTACACTAGAATAATAATTTTGTTCTTTTACATTATAACATTACATCAATCTTGGGCATTTAAAAATGTGCTAGATTGTAGTCCAGTAAACTTACTTCACAGGTCAAAAATAAGTAAATATTTAAATGAAAGGTAAATTCTTCTAACAGATTATAATTGATTACTATGGATTGACTGTGTTTTGTGTTATAAACCCATCACTGGAGGCCAGGAGGTCCCTTTTAATGTCAATTTATTGAATTTTCAGAACAATCCAATGAATCGAGTATTCCCCCCATTTTATAGATGAGAAAACTGAGGCTAAGAGAAGCCAAATGAATTGCCAAAGTCACACAGGTGATGATGGTAGCAGCCAGAGTTCAAACCAGGCCTGACCACAAAGCCCATGTTCCATGCAGTCTGCAAAACTGTGAAAAGTACTCAGATGAAAACTAACGAATAACAGATGATACTTTAAAATGAAGCCATGAAAGATACAATGGGAGGTGTAAGCTGAGCTATTAGAACATTTTTTTATTAGACTCTTTTTTACCTGAGAGCTAATGAAGCCTTTTGCCAGTTTTCAAGAAGAATCTTACCACCTAATTTGATATGAGGAGGTCTACATAAGGCCAAAGAGGAAAAAAATGCATTGACATGCTAGCAACAAACAGTGTTAGCATCTGTAGGTGACAGGTCACTCCTTCCTTTCTCAGTATTAGAAGTGTAACATTTAGACCAGAGATCATCTAAGATCATCAATAACTAAGGGTAAACTTGAAGCAAAAAGTGGCCACCAGTGTCATTTAGAGTGGAGGAGAAGGGCAGTGTGGTCTTAACCACGAATGTGTTTATGTGAAAGGATGCCAATCCATTTTACCAGCAAATAATCTTTAGAAGTCAGAAAAGTAAATTGTTTATATTCATTTATCTCTGAGGTCTATAGTCGAAGAAACCTAATAGCTCTCTTATCTCACCCTTTAATGCCCTTAAACACATCAAATTTTATTGCATTCTGTTTTGTTATAAAACACTTTGATTTATTTACTTCTTCATTTTGTCCTTTAAAAAGAAGACTCTCAGTGGAGCATAGTAAAATTCCAACTGTAAAAGCAGTCCTCAATATTAAAAATGCCTCATAAATCACCAGGAATATCTATTCCTGTTCCAATATTCTTAAAAAATAGTTTCCAAGCGACTTTTTATTAAACTTTCCAGGTAGTATTCAGAAGTTTTTCCTTCTGATTTTTTTTTTTTTTTTTTTTTTTTGAGACTGAGTCTCGCTTTGTTGCCCAGGCTGGAGTGAGTGCCATGGCGTCAGCCTAGCTCACAGCAACCTCAAACTCCTGGGCTCAAGCAATCCTGCTGCCTCAGCCTCCCGAGTAGCTGGGACTACATGCATATGCCACCATGCCCGGCTAATTTTTTCTATATATATTAGTTGGCCAATTAATTTCTTTCTATTTATAGTAGAGACGGGGTCTCGCTCTTGCTCAGGCTGGTTTTGAACTCCTGACCTCGAGCAATCCACCCGCCTCAGCCTCCCAGAGTGCTAGGATTACAGGCGTGAGCCACCGCGCCCGGCTCCTTCTGATTTTTAAATAGTAAAATCATTTTCAGATAGTAGCTATAGTCATATAAAATATTTATATGCCAATAAGATTCATAACAACTTGCAAATTTTCTTAAGCAGGAAAATGAAAGAAAATGATGGGTCTGACAAAGACTTTTTAGAATCTATGGCCCAGAGACTTGGCTTTTGGTACTAGTTAAGAACACATTCACCCCTCTAGTATGAAATTTTCATGCCTTCCTTGTGTCTTCATCCCATGCTGAATGGCTCTGCAGTGAAGACGAACATTAGCAGTAGTAAGACTCCCATCACTGGAAGTGTGCAAACAAGGGCACATGCTCATCATTCTTTTAACAATTTGTCTTGGACCCTTTCTATATGCCTGGTACTACACTAGAGTATGACAAGATAAAGATGAAACTAAACAATCCCCATTCAATAAGAAACTCACAATTAGCAATATTATAGGTTCAGTGATGGAAGAGTAGCAAAGAAGGAAACCAAGAATAAAGAGGAAAAACATTCTTCCTGGCCCAGCCTGTAGAATCAGAGGATGCATTGCGGGAGATACCTCTTGTCCTGAGCTTTCAAGCATGAGTAGGAGTTCTTTAAGTAGAAAAAGCAGGAAAATGCTGAAAGTCTTCTAAAGAAGAGAGAAGGGCACATACAAAGGTCTGATAGAAAATTGCTTCTTTGGAATTATAAAAAAAAAAAGTCATGATTGCAGGGGCATGAAGATGAGCATGCTTTATAACTAAGACACATCTGGATGTAAACACCAGCCATGCCTTTTATCAGCTCAGATACCTTGAGCAAGTCATGTTGGAATGAGAAAACACCTACTTGTAGGAATGTCTGGAGCAATGCAATGATATGAAAAATGCAAAGCCACTAAGGCAGTGCGTGGCTCGTAGCACATTCAGTAATGGCTGGTGAGATGCTGATGATGACTTATGATAAAGATGATCATTTATTATTAGTTCATATTATTACTGATTTATATCAACACAAGTGTTTGTTACTGATTTGATTCTCATACTGAAGGGGCTGTGGTTACAGATTCTGGACTCAACTTGCAGGGATTTAAATTCCAACTCGGTAGTTTATTTGCTCTATACCCAAGGCACTTAATCTCTCTAATCCTCAGATTGCTGCCTGATTGTATAGTGTCAACAATAACAGTACCTACCTCAGAGTGGGAGTCAGGGTTACATGAGATAATGCATGGAAGGTATAGTACAGAGCTCAGGAGAGAAAGCACATCATTTGATATACATGTTAGCTATTTCTTTTACTTCTTTATTTATATCATTGTTGGATTTAGTTCTCTCCCTGTTTTTATCTATTTTCAAATTATAAAGATAATAAGAGCAGTTTTAAAAATTTAGAATGTAAAGAAAGAAAAAATAATCTATATAACCATAAATTTTAACTTAACAATAATGTATTATCCTGGAATATTTTCTTATAGTACATCATCACTCCTGTACAGTAATTTTTCCATTTATAGACTTAAAAAAATGTAGCTGAAACACATGGCCCAAGAACATTGTAACCTTTATTTGTCATTGGTCATTATACATTGGAAGCATTTTCCATATTGTTGCATTGACTTCCCAGCTACAATGTCAATGACTACATGAACGTCCACTGAACAGAAGCATCTTAGTTTTCGAAATCAATCTCCTCTCGTATATTTGGGTTGTTTTCAATTTAGCGCATAAGGAAGAGAACCGGAGAAGAGTTGGTACAGTACTAAATAGAGAGACAGAACAAAAATGTATAGCAACCTGAATCTTCTAGGCCCCACAGTGTCCTTGCATGACTTCCTCTCGACTCTCAGCCACCAGACAGAAGCAGAAAAAAAGCACAATCACACCCATCCAGGGTGGGATTTTGCAGGAATGACTTAGAAAAGATTTTTATGCTGTGTCAAAGGTCCCTCCCATGTAATAACTTTGTGTCTTATGTGATTTTTTTTTTTTTTTTTAGTATTCTCTGGGCCTCCGATTTGCAGTTCCACGGCTTGAGAAAACAAATATGAGCATTAACTTCAATCTCCAAATCAGAAGGTTAGAGCGTTAAATGCCTACAGTCTCCACAGCGCTCGATGATGACATTGCGATCCAGAGTGAAATGATGTCATTTGTCAAGGTCCTTCCCCTTCAAAGCTCCTCTGAAATTAGAACCCAAATTTTCACAGCCCAGTTTTTTTTTTTTTTCTTTGTTTTTCTCAGTCACTTTTGGTTGTTTCGATATGTTAGGTTTTGAAAAAGAGATTCCATTATGGAGGCCAAGTTATGAGATAGTAAAATTTTGTCCTGGGCATTCTCCTACCGGCTTCACCTCTGCTTTTGCTCATTCCAAGGCCCATAGCCTCCCCTAACCCAATACCCCATGCCCTCAGCTGGGTGTCAGCCGATTCCTGAGAACAAAATCTCTGCATAGATTTTGCATTTGCAATCTTGGAGTCTCCCAATTTTCAAAAATGAATGAGTCTCTGATGGTTTGCTTGTGAGAACCATGGCAGGATGCAGGTGAGATGTTATATTTTACGGGCAGAACCTTCTCTAGCAGCAATAAGCTGAGCATGCAGGTAGCCGCCTTCCTTTTCTGAAGCTGGCCATGTTCGAGGATTCACCCGTGACTTCACCCTCTCGCCATCTATTCTGTTTGCTCCTTTGTGGCTGGAAATAATATTTCGCGAATGTTAAGGCCCACAGAGTGCAGTGTGGCATGCAGGCTGGGATTTCCCAGCTGTGGACTTCAACCCATTAGCTGGTAAAGAAATCAATTGAATCGTTCTAGACCTGTATTAAAAGAAAAGCACAAGAGGCTAAGGCAGGAGGATCCCAGTGTATTGAACCCTTGTTCTGACTGTTAAAATGACTATGAAGTTGATATCTATAATTTGGTTCTCAAATACTAGTGTACAATATGGCTAATCTCTAAATTTGCCTTGATATTTTGCAGGAGGTGTCATTAGAGTGTGATAACTTTTAGATTAATTACTCTTTGCATCAGATTACTTTTTTTTTGCAACAGAGTCTCACTGTGTTGCCCGGGCTAGAGTGCCGTGGCATGAGCCTAGCTCACAGCAACCTCAAACTCCTGGGCTCAAGCGATCCTTCTGCCTCGGCCTGCCGAGTAGCTGGGACAACAGGCATGCATGACCGTGCCTGGTTAGTTTTTTCTATATATATTTAGTTGTCCAATTAGTTTCTTTCTATTTTTAGTAGAGACGGGGTCTCGCTCTTGCTCAGACTGGTCTCGAACTCCTGACCTTGAGCGATCCTCCCGCCTCGGCCTCCCAGAGTGCTAGGATTACAAGTATGAGCCACCGCACCCAGCCAGATTACTTTTTAATAGCTACTTCTATGAAAGGTTAGGATTTTTAAAATATATATAAACTCTGTAAGAATGTAGCAGATTAAAAACCTGCAACCTTGTCACAAACCATTCCCTCCCACCAAACAGTGATAGATTTCTAGGGAGGAAGCTTTTCGAACTTACCTTGGGTGTTCTTTACTGGACTTTGTAAGGGCGGCCTTGCAAAAATAATCCATCCTAACAAACTTCATGAGGTATTTCCTGAAGTTAACATAATAGATATTTTCTGCTGAATCTTAGACATTTTTAAAAAAAATTTTATCTGAATTAATGATGGAGTGCAGATGGAATGAATTATTCCGTAATATTCCTTCATTTTACCAAAAACTTACTAAATAACTTCTTTATATCTAAAAAATACATATATTTTCCCAAAAGATTCAGGCAGTCCTAAATGTTTTCTTTTTGGAGATCTTCTGTTTATATTTCTAAATTTCGAGGCAAAAAAAACCCAATAAAACAACACATGCCACAGTGAAGGAACATTGTCACTCCATTCAGGATCCTGAAGTTTCTATTTGTCTCCATCATCATTTGTGCCACTGATGCTGCATGAAGCTTTGTGTCACTTATGTACATCTCTCATAAGACACACAGCCTTTATTTAGAAAGAAAGTCTAGTACAAAGGTACAAAGCAAATTGAATTGGTATTTCCTCCTTACTCTTGATTGCAGTTACCAGGAAGAGAATGGGTACAATTAGCAGTTCGTTCAAGAAGCAAAAGATACTACCTGACGTTCTAAATGCCTTGCTTAGATCCATCCTATAAATCATCATTTAAATAATGAATTCAGTAATGAAGTGCTGAATTCAATATAAAATACAAATGGTCACATTTTAACATCCCCGTTCATCTAAAAAATGGGTCATGATTATGTTTCATGTCTACTTATGACCGTTAACATTATCCTGAAAAACATAAAAATGCAAAACTATAGAAAGAACTGCAATATATGGAAAGCATCAAATTTCTAAAACACACATTATAGAGATAAAAGTGTTTGAGAATGCAGTATTTGTGTAGAACTGTTTATATTTATTTGAGTAGAACTCAAATACTAGGGTATTTGATAAGTAAGCATTTATCTGCATGCTTTGCTGATAGACTCCAAAGATGTAAATAAGCATTTGTTTGCATTAAATGCCTGTTTCCACAAATAAAAGCCAAAAGAGAAATGGGCTTTATAAGTTAGTAAACTTAAAATATTTCCTGTTACCAAATATTTGCATTAAATTGTCTCTCCATGCCCTCACTCTATATGACATAAACATTTTCCTCCCTGTGTACAGCGGGTGTCAGATTGCAATTCTCACGTGCAAACAGATCTTTGCAAACATCCTCAAAGTTGCTTCCTTAGTAACAGTGAAATGAGCACTGTGTTATCTTTACTGGCGTTGCAAAGACCACAGAAAACATAAAGGGAATGTTCAAAACTAGGAAATAGGAAATAGAAAGGAGAAAGGAAATAGCATCGGAGGGATAAAGTGAAAAACATGTTTATCCTTGGTATATGACATAGGGTTCAGTCGTATAGAGGAAATTCATTGTTCCTTGCATAGAACGAGCACCGACTGCATAAATAGCTCGGCGACCACAGCAGTGATGTATTGCTTGTTTGGATGAAGTGGTGCTATCAGTGAGGGAGGTTTCCTTCCAGAAAAGAGGTCAAGGAAGCATTTAAGTTATATAGCAGGCCTGGTTCCTTTCTTACCAGGGGATTTTCTTGCCCCCACTGGTACGCAGTAGCAAGTGTCATGGAAATCTGCATGACAGAAAATGATTTTGATTAGCCAGCTGGAAGGTCTGGACTCCAAATCTGCCATTGTTCTTGCTGCGTTTCTAAACAGCCTCCAGAAGTCTCCTATTAGACTTATGTTCAAAGATCATCTCAATGTTTGACATCTATTTACATATTCAGGGCATTGTGAGTAATGAAAATTGTGTTATTTAAGCTACTTGGAAACCAAACACAGTAGAATTATGCAATAATTGAAATGTAACTTTGGTGTTTCATAATTCTAATTGCCACTGCTGCAAAGCAGTCGTGAACTAGAAATAGAACAAAATTTGGTTAATCTGTAGAACAATTATATTTAAATTTCTGAATTAAAGAGTTACCTGTAACGTATTTGGAACCATAAACTCTGCAATAAGTAAAATTACTTAAGCACTGCTTAGTGGTTAGAATTCGGAATCCTGCCTTTAAAAAACCAAACAAAAAAATAACTTTTTGGTTGACCACTGCTGCCCAGATGTGATAATAAAATGCCCCGGATATCAAGGTTCAAATTTTGGTGAACAAGTCCTTCTAGGCTCAATCACAAGCTTACTGGTGATATCCCATTGCAGGAAATGAGCCTGACATTTGCCTGTTTATATCTTTTATGTATGCTTGCAGTTTAAGTTGCCTTATCAGTGTACACAATGGACTAGGACTTTTCAAAAGCATCGTGCGAACAAATCTGTCTCCTCCTCCTTTGAAAGCAGAACTTTATAATATCCAACTCCCACATTTGGAAAACTTCAAAAGTTGGTCAGAATTAATTACCTAATTGGTAGGTTCTGACCAATTTAATGATGAAAAAAAAAAGGAGGTTTTCTTTTCTTAATGAGACCTGAAAATAAACATGACCTGCTATTGGTGATGTGGCCACATTTCAATTTTCTAAAAGCTGCCTAATGCTTTTGGTGACTTTGATGGAAGCACAGTAGGACAATAAATGCAGATGGCAGCTGCCTCCAAAGCTCAGTTACTTGGTTGAGCCTCTTGTGAGGCAGGTTAATTTTCCTTATGGCATGAACTGCTTAACACGTGCATTTTTTTTAGAAGTTAAGCTCCATATCTAATTATATTTGTTTGAGAGGAAAAACAACCACCAAACTTAAAAAAATAATTTTGCCACTGCTCAAAGAAGTATTATTAGATGCACACCTTCTATCTTGAGACTCTTGATGCATTTCCCAAACTTCCACATCACCTCCTAATTGCCTGTTTATGAACTGCCCGGCTTCCTTGGGTCCTGCATCTAGCCATTGGCCATGTTTCTAATTCACTCTCCTCTCCTTGCCCTCGTCAGCCAGGGAGTATGCAGTGAATGTACACTTATTTTAATATTAACTTAAGAAATCATAAGGAAGATAAAATTGCTGCCAAAACAATGTGTGGTATGATGCATTCCAGAGCCAAATGCAAATGCTGTTTCGATTATGGGCTATTCTGGATTATTCGTGCCAGTTCTCCTCTTATTAGCATGGAGAATCAGGAGTTGACTGTCCTGTCGTTCCCTATTTGATGGGCAATGAACATGATGCACTGAGATGTTAAGGAATTTGTCCAAGGCCTGGAAAATGAACTCAGTTTGATGCCTCTTTGGCTTAGCCATGGAAACAAAAAAAGTATTGGGTTCTCTAGATTTCTATTGTATTTCCAGATAAAGTGTCTTCCCATGGAAAGTTGCCACACTGCTGTTGATCATGAAGGATCTTAGCATCTCCCTCTACAAATGGTTATGATATTTGTAGAATGAATAGTCTTGTTTTCTGAATGATCAGGTTAGTAATGTGTGGTTACCCTTGTGATATACAGAATGTTTTTCATGATCGTGTACTGTGGTAACACGTCAGAGAAAATATGTTCAAATCATTTGTCGCTGTGTTTTAGTTCCAACAAGGACAATCCAGACAGCAATTTTGTGAGTTTGCAAATCAACGTCACTGCTATAGCCCAAGTGGAAATAAGAGGGTAAGTATAATAATAAACAAGGCATTGCAGTAGTATAATACTAGTTTTCTGTACATAAAAAGTTATGATAAAATACTAGTGAAAACTACATGGAATTTTCTTAACGCACTAGAGATCATAGTTCACTCTGTTTTATAATTTTTATTCTTTTCTGCTCATCATTAGTCTTCCATTGGAAAGTAGAGTGAAGCCAGAATAATAATTAACTCTAAGCATATCAGAACAAGAGATCACTTTGTTCCCTAAACTGACAAGGTAATCAAACTATAAAAACAAGTTGATAAGCTGGATCAAATAGATAACCATGTGATTGTGTACAAAAATATTACTTCTTCAATAATTATTATAATAATTTAGCCTCGCCACATCTTGAGTTTAATAAATGGCCCACTGTTAGATGAGAGGGACAATTGCATCTATTGGATCTACACTTTGTATCTTTCTGCTTCAGTCCTGTTCGTTGAGGAGGATGCCAGTAAGAAATTGAATGACAGACAGGAGGGAAGGGTTCATGGAAAAAGGTTAGAATGCCTACCAGCTGGAAAATCTGTGCGGGGGGGGGCCAGGGGGTGAGTGGGTGGTGGAGGCATGCATGTGTGCATAGGTGGGCCGGGGGGGGGGGGGGGGGGGGGGGGGGGGGAAGGAAATCAGAAAGGGACTGCATGTTATTCTTATCTTGCACAAGGATGGACTCTATTGATTTTGTTCTTAACGATTCCATTTTCTTCAGAACAATCAAGAACTTGGCTAAAAATGTCAACTGGTATTTCGGACCAAATTGTCATTGGGGTTCCAGAATCCTGGATCCCTTCCTTTTCCATGGGTCCTCAGTGGTTCACACTCCTCCAGGGTGACAACTGGAATTTCCCAATGCAGAGCAAGCGTCACCATGGGACCTGCCACTGCTGTGTTGGTGCCGCTGAGCGCCCCCTAGTGGATCAGAGAATAATGATAACGCCAAACATTTTCTGATGCTTTCTAGATGCTACCCTCTAATGCACACTAATATCCTCATTGTGCGAGTGAGGGAATTGTGGCACAAGGAAATGAAGGTTACACTAGAAAATTGGAAGCAAGAATGTAAACACAGGCAACGTATCTTTAGAACTCATGCTCAGAAATGAACATGCTAGCCTGCCTGGGATTTTTTGAAATCCTGCCTGAGTTTTTTGAAACCTATCTATATAAAACCTTATTTTATGTATGCATCTGTAAACATTTTTTTTATTCATACAAATTTTTCTGAGATCTTCTCATCTTAGTGCATGTGCTGGTAGTTCATTACTTCCATTGCATGAGAGTATTACGTTATAAAAATATACCATAATTTATTTATCCCGTTCTACTATTGATGAAAATGTGAGCTTTTGTTTTTTCCTTTTTACAAACTTTTTGTACATACCTTCTAGCACACATGTGGCAAAATGACAACAGGTCATATGCTTAGAAGTGGAAATTTGGGATCAGAGAGTGTATACTATTTAACTTTACTAAATAATACCAAACTTTTTTTCAAAATAGTTATACTAAATTACACTCCCATGAGAAGTGGACAAAAGTTTCCATTGCTTTACATTATCAACTAACTCTCAAAATGATCTGGTTTTTAATTTTGAGCCCGCCTGATGGATAAGAAATATTAATAGTATATTATAAAAGGCTTAATTTGCAGTTCCCCAATTCCTAAATGAGATTGAGCAGCATTTTTTAATGTGTTTGTTGACTCTTTATTCTTCCTATGCAGGGAAATTCTTGTTTATTTTTTGGCACATATTTCACTAAAACAGTTGACTTTTTCTTATTAGTATATAGAAATTCTTTTCTATTCCAGAATTTAGACTCTAATCCTATATCAGTTACACAGATTGCAAATAGCATTTCACAGTTTATGGGATTTGTGGGGCTTTTGAAAAGTCAGGTTTATTGACATAAATTACATAAAGTAAAATTCACCCTTTCTAGGTGTCCAGTTTGAACATTCAATATAGAACAGTACCATCATTCCACATAGTTCTTTTGGGCTCCTTTGGAGTCAACCCTTCTCCCGCCCCCAAACCTTGGTCTATTTTTTGTCACTACAGTTTTGTCTTTCCCAAAATGTCATATAAGTCACTGAGAATTAGTTTGGCTTCTTGCACTTAGTGTAATGCACTTGAGAAGCAACTGTGTTCTTACATGTATCTGCAGTCTGCTTCTTTTTATTGCAGAGAAGTATTCCATTATCTGGATGTCCAATAACTTGTTCTTCCATGCACCAGTTGATGAGCATTTGGGTTGTTTCGTTTAGGCTATTGCAAATAAATCTGCTATAAACATTCACATGAAGGTGTTGTTGAAACGTTTGTATTCACAAATGGAGTTACTGAGTTGTAGGATAAGCATATGTTTATAAGAAACTACCAAACTGTCACTGAGCATTGTTGCCATCATCATCTCATTTTTGGTGAAGGGTATCTTCACATCTTTTACCTATATATTATTGGGCTGTCTGTCTTCTTGTTATTGAGTTGCAAAAGTTCTTTATATATTCTGGATACAAAAATCACTTATCAGATATGTGGTGTCCTGTGATTATTTTCTTCCAATCTATCGATTGGCTTTATACTTTCCTAATAGTGGTGTCGAAAGAGCAAAAGTGTACAATTTTGATGGAGTCCAATTGATTTAATTTTTTATGATTTGGGCTGTTTGTGTCCTATCTGAGAAATACATTTCCTTTCCAAAGTCACTTCTTCCAGAAGTTTTATAATTTTAGGTTTTACGTTTAGGTCTATGGTTAATTTTAAGTTAATTTTTGTATGCAGTGTGAGGGAAAGGGCCAAGGTTCATTTTTGCATGTGAATATTCAGTTATTCCTGTGCCATTTGTTGAAAAGACCATCCTTTCCCCATGAATTACTTTGGCACCTGTATTGAAAATCTGTGGCTCATATGTGAGAGTCTATTTCTGGATTTCCTCTTCTGTTTCATTGATCTATATGTATTAACATAATAAGTCTTGAAATGCAAGAGTGCACACTGAGATTTTGGCAAACTCACTTGTAAATTCTAGTAGCCTTTTTGTTCATTGATTTCCTAGGATTTTCTATAGAATTATCAAGTTGTCTGTAAATAAAGGCAATTTCATTTCTTACTTTCCAATCCATAGGTACAAAAGTTTATCCAAATATAAAATTTAAGGGAACAGTCTCCACAAGAGATCACACTCACTTCTGACACCAACTTCAAATTCAAGTGGTTTCCAAAACCACCTTCAGATTCAAAAATTCATTAAAAGTATTTGCAGAACTCATTGAAAGTTATTATATTGACAGTTACAGTTTATTACAGAGGAAAAGGTACAGATTAAAATCAGTCAAGGGAAGAAGTACCAAACACAGGGCTTCCACTGTTCTCTCCTGTGGAGTTAGGACATGTTACTTTCCTGGATTGATGTATGTGTGTGGGGTAACACCTAGCAGGGAAGCTTACTCATGCCTCAGTGTTCAGGATTTTCACTGGCCCTCCATTACATAGGCATGATTGATCGATTGCCTACATAATTGATCTCCATCTCCAAGTTGACTCATAGGATATAACCAAAGCTCCCACTCTAACTTATATTGTTAGAATATCCAGGGTGATCCAAGGTCTCAGGCAAAAAAGACATTCCTATCATGCATAAAACTCCAAGAGCTTAGAAATTACTCCCCAGAAGCTGAATTCAAGGCCAGACAGACCTCTTATTGGGCAAGCTTAAATTATTTGTTGCATAGTTATACTTTTCATTTCATTTTCTCCCCTTACTGCATAGACTAGGACAACCAGTGCAAGACTGAACAGAACTGGTAAAAGGAGACATCCTTGCCTTCTCCTCAATCTTACGGGAAAACCAGTCTTTTACCATTGAGTTTTATTTGTTAAGACATAACTAAATTCAAGGCACCTAAGGGGTTAATATAACTGTCTTTATTCTCTCTTTTTTTTTTTTTTTTTGAGACAGAGTCTCACTTTGTTGCCCAGGCTAGAGTGAGTGCCATGGCATCAGCCTAACTCACAGCAACCTCAAACTCCTGGGCTCAAGCCATCCTCCTGCCTCAGCCTCCCGAGTGGCTGGGACTACAGGCATGTGCCACCATGCCCGGCTCAGTTTTTCTATATATATTAGTTGGCCAATTAATTTTTTTCTATTTATAGTAGAGACGGGGTCTCGCTCTTGCTCAGGCTGGTTTCGAACTCCTGACCTCGAGCAATCTGCCCGCCTCGGCCTCCCAGAGTGCTAGGATTACAGGCGTGAGCCACCATGCCCAGCCTGTCTTTATTCTCACATATACTTTTTATGAGATTAATATTTTCAAATGTATTTCTGCCATCACTTACAGTAAAAAAGAAGGAAATTTCATTTTTGCCAATAATAAAAACAAATAATTAAAATTGGGTTTCTCATGTGGGTGCAATTATTTTAGTTGCTGGACTATTGTCCAACAATCGACCACAGTTTATCCTGTAAGAGAGTGTTGAGGTTCTTTTTATCTATTTTATATAGTAAAACTCTTTGCTTTAAATATACAGTAGAAATATTGGTTCCAATGTTTAATTCTCCAAGGAACAAACAGCTACTGTGTTGAAAACCTTCCATGTTCAGTCTTTAGAAAAATCTAATTTTCTTCTTTGCCAATGGTATTTATTCCAATTTTTTTACCACACACTATCTTAAACTATTTTTTAAAAAATTATTATTCTTTTTTAATTTAAGAAATAAACTAAAATGGATTTTTTTGAGTGGTGCAAAATACTGAGAATTGTTCCATTTGTTTCAAAGTTAGATAACATCAACATTGTCTTTAAGCAGATTTACATGCTATTTATTGGTACAAAGGATCAATTTAAATAGGTCTGTAAAAAGTAAATTTGGCCACAGGAAACAAGCAGTACCACATATATTGAGCTCACAAAAAGTAATAAAATTGCAGGCTTTGTAAAATAATCGGGATTGATGAGTTTGTACTAAAAGAGACTACAATGTGATAACCAAACATAGACTACTGTCCCAAGCAGATAGAGCCAACGTTCTTCCATACAATAAATGTTAAATTTTGCTGCTTGTGATTAATAGGGTTTCAAAACAAGGTTATGAAAATAGGGTTCACACCATACTACCAAATCCTCATATTTGAACTTCCTGGCAACATTGAAAACCTAATTCTTTTATTCCAGAACAAACTTTTATTCCACATAAATGAAAACTTAATGTTTACATAAAAACCTATACATAAATGTTTATAGAAGCTTTATTTATAATAGTCCAAAACTGCAAACAACCCAAATGTCCTTTGATGGTTGAATGGCTAAACAAACTATGTATACCTGTGCCATAGAATATCACTCTGCAATAGAAAGGAATGAACTACTGATAGACAGAACAACCTGGATGAATCTTCAAAGAATTATGCAGCATGAAAAAAGCCAATCCCAAAGATTATGTACTGTGTGATTCCATTTATATAACTTGAAATGACAAAATTACAGAAATGGAGAACAGATTGGTGGTCGCCAAGGGATTAGGAAGGGGTGGGGCAGAGGGAAGTGGGTGTAGCTATTTAAAAGGGGATCTTTATGGTGATAGGAATGTTCTTGACCATATCAATGTCTATATTCTGGCTGTGATATTATATACAATATCACATTTTGGCTTTGCAGGATATTGCCATCAGGGGAACTGTTAAATGGTACCTAGAATCTCTCTATATTGTTTCTTACAATTACATGTGAGTCTACAATTATCTCAGAATAAAATTTAATTAAAAAAAAAAACTTTAGAACCTGGGATTAAGACAGAAAAAAAAAAGAAAAATTATAGAAAATAATATTATAAATTTTTAAAAAATAAATAAAAAAAAACTAATTCCTTGCTTTCCCCAAAATCCCTTCCTGGTGTTCATGGTTACCATTGACAGTACTCCAATCTTCTTATCCTAAGGTTCTCAGTGGAGAATGTTCTACCCTTCATCATAGGCTGGAAGGCTACTTAGTAAAGTTGTTAAATAGCTGCATTTGCTTTTCATCTGAGGCAAATTAGTTGATTATATTCTTTTTTCCTTCTTTCTAAAACGTTCACTTTGAAAAAAAAAATGAACATTGTTTCATTGATTTAGTTGGGATCTGGAGAGAGCCATTCTTTGCCATGGTTTCCCCAGATCTAAACCAGTCTTCAGTGGATAAATAACTGAGTTTTGTGAGCCACGCTTTTTGAATGACTTTGCCATGGCCTGTGATAGGTTATATATTCCTGCATGGATTTCTATTTGATTTTGTTACAGAATTGCACCAGGAAGTATGTGTTCACTAAATATCACTGCAATTTAGGGGCCCTTACGATGTGTTGTATATTGCAAATAGAGTAGGTGGTACTTAGGCTGTCTGAGCTGGAGCAGACTTCTCCCCTCCAACTAACCCACTACTTCTCTGTGCATCAGTCTTCTTTTATGTATTTAATGAGGGGTTTTGACCACATTGTGTCCACAGTACCTGTCAAAGTCTAAAGATTTGTGATTTTACGATCCTAGAGGTTTTATGACCAGTCCTATAGGATTAATAGCATAAGAACAAAATTTTTCAGAGAAAATGTGTTCACTTTCTGTTCTACGTTTGTTCTCTGTGCTAAGAAAAAAAAAAAAGTTTCCCTAGAGCCTCACAATGGACAATGGATACTGAGCATGGACTCAACTCTCCGTTGCCAAGCTGAGAATGAATGGAGCTTTGGATGGCAAGGTTGTCAAAACCCTGTTGGACTGTAAGTCCAAGGTCTCTGGGCTTCCTTCTGATGCAAACAATCTGCCATACATGTCCTGTGCTCTTCTCCTTACCACATCCTCTCCTATGTTTGATCCAACATGATTTAGTCAAATCAAGTAGGAAAAGGAACCATGGCGTAATGGCAAACCAATATAAAGGTAGAAATTTTTGAGATATCAGCCCAGCAAAGTTGTGCCCTGCACATTTTATTTAACAGTTGCACATTCAGGACATATGCAAAGAGGTTCACATTTTAGCAACATTTCTGTGGGTTGTTCATTTCAAAAAAATATACTTACCCCTAGAAAACAGTTCAGTCGAATTAACTTTGACCCAAAGCATTTGAGATGCTTTCCAATCCTTCGTGGTATACAACCCAAAGGGTTTATCACCATTTTCCAGATGAGGAAATAGAGACATACATAAATTAAATTACTTGCCCTAGAGTTAGAATTTAACCCAATAAATTTTGCTTTCTGCTATATAGAAAGAGATTACTCAGATGAGGAGAAAAAAAGATAACATTTGAAGTTACTAGAGGCTGTGTTAATTACTGAATACCTTTAAAAGGGCACTTAAGACATCTGATTGCCAAAAGAGATAGTTTCTGTTGAAGTTCCTTTTAGCTGAATAGATCTAGGAATTCTTTTAAAGATACCTTTTACCAAGAAACTGCTAGAAAACGATATGGGGTATTTTTTTGAGAATGATCCTTTTTAAGATTCCATAAAAACAGCAATTTGATTTGTAATCAGCTTTTAACATGGAATAATGCCATGCACTATATTTCATTCATCCAGTGCTCACTTTCAAGGTGTCAATTGTAGGAAAAAGTAATTGTATATCGAGTTAATACCCTGCTTACATGATTATAGCACTTAACTCTGTCTATCTCTCACTCTTAAATTATCTATAAGAAAATTCTAGAACTCAATCTCATTTATTTAGTTTTGGCTCTGGGCCTAGCTTTGTGAAAGATGTGACTATGCCAAGAGAGAACTGAAAAAATGTGGGAAAGAGGAATATACAATGGCCACTTTTCCACTTGAAGTCTTTAACCAGAAACTGTATTTCTTCGTGATTGGATATTTAGCATAACACAGAATCCAAAGATTTTTATCCACACACACAAAAAAGAATCCCATTTCTTGATATGGCTTAAAGCAGAGATTATATAACCTGTACACACACACACACACACACACACACACACCACTCTTACACTTGCACAGGCTAGATAAATAGATGTATATATTTATATACGTATCCATTCAATTATTCATCTTAACTCAGGAATGCTCTCCACTTCGCTCCCTGGTGCCCAAGAGACGAGATGCTGTAAAATAGTCTCTGGGCTCCAGACCAGTAAGTAAGGGCCTAAAGCAGATATTTCAGGTCCTTCACTGTCATTTTAGTCATTTAGCTGGATGTCACTTTCAATATTCTTTCCAAGTAGGCAGCTCCAATAAATTAAGAGCTGCTTTTTCCTTCTGCTGTCGGTGGACTGCCCACTAGTGAAACGTTCTGTACCCAGGCCGCCCTCGGTGGCTAACACAGCGTCCCATGTTTCAGAGTGTCGCACCCGCCTCAGATCGTTCTGCCCATTCACAACTGGGAACCGGAAGACGAGCCCCGCAGGGAGGAAGAAGTCGGACCGTTGGTGGAACATATCTATGAGGTAGTCGCTGCCTATGTTAGAGCTGTCGTTAGGGGTTTATGCTTAAGCTCTGTGCTAATAAACTCTGCATAGCGGTTTAAAAGACACCAATCCAAGGGCTGAGCTTTCTGTGCTGCCTGGATTTGTCCTTGTTCTGCTGTCCTGTCACCTGGTGGGGCAGGTGTCCTGTTGGGTAACCCCCAGATTTGGTCACTTGCTTCTCAGTGTCGAGAAGTCATTACATGATGAGCAACATTTTATCTTGTTACGATTCTTTTTTAAATATGTTCTTTACTTCCCCTCTTGTTAATATGTGAATAGCCTAAGCATAAAAAGGGCTAGCTTTCTAGACTTCCATTTTTCCCCACATTTTCAGATATCTTTAATACCCACACATCTCTTAAAATGAAGTTCACCAACTAGAAGGTACTGGAAAGAAAATGTTATGAATTATTCACTGTTATACTGAAAAAAAAATGCACATATATGAGATGGGTGGGTGGTAGATAGATAAGAATAATTTTACTATTCATTCAAATAACCCAAATTGGAAATGAATAACTTATTCTGAGATTTAAAATAGTCCATTGATTAGTAAAATATCTTCCAAAAGCATGGAAAAGATCTGATACTCTTTTCCCACTTCAAGTGTTGAATTAAAAATAAGGAAAAGATTTGTTGACGTATCACCTGAAACCTTAAAATTTTTACGGTTAGAAACCAGCATATAGTTAAAGGGTTAATTTAGGACTGGATCAGGTGTTTGTTTTGTTTTGTTTTTGATAAAGTCAAGGCTATCAGTAGAGAGTCGTTATTCCTATTCGTTTTCAAGGGACCAAGACTGGAATGTTGGTAAAATGATGTCCAAGACATTTGCTATTCCAGGTCCCTTCTTAATTAATGCTTTCTGATCTTTCCCTGTGACACTCATGCCACTGATTGGGTAATTCTGACCATGACTTTCATCTGAAGCTATAAGGGAGGTAAATAACAACCTCTGAGATTAACAATAAAGCCTTTCCAACACCAATGAGCTGTTTACATACGTGGGGAAGAAGGCTCAACTCCTGGGCAGTGTCATCGTGAAATCCTCTGTCATCTGCCCAACCTGTGGCGCACATTCAGAAGCCTGGTCCAAAGTGGATCAAAGCTTTGCCTTAAGCTCTCTTGATAGCAAAAGGATAATACAGTCTCCAAGGCCATTTGCATTAAGAACCTCACTGGGGTAAAAAAAAAGAAAAAGGCTGTCAAATAATTTATTAAAGCTGTGTGTACTGGTTTCCATGTAAGAATGGTGAAACTTTCAAGTTTGAAAACATATTCAGAATCAATCATTCTTAGGGCAGCCCTGCTTCTAACCTTAGCATAAATGGATCCTAAAAGTTTAGGATAATTACATTAGAATAATCATAAAATGCTTCTTGCATGCTAATCTCACGTCTCACACTGCACTATATCAATGGATACCATGCTTCTTGGATAATGTGGATTAAATAGGTCACCTAATAAACAAACACAATTGTACATGTTTTATAAATCATTGTAATTGTCAGAACTGTGAGGGAAAAAAGGAAAAGAAGATCCCTGCTCACTCTGAAGTTGATTTTTAAAGCCATGGTAATTTTAAACATACTTAGTGTTTGGAGGACACAACAATTTTGTGTTCTCCAAGAACAGGCTTCGTGTGTTAAAAAAAAAAATGTTCATCTCTTTATGAGATATGGCTTTTCCTTCCTTGAGATTTGCTGATTGAAACAGACAGAGCTCAGCTTTGAAACGCACATGCAGAGTGAACTGTGGTGAGCAGGCACCAGGTTTGTCATTTGACGGATGGCCGTTTTTCCAGAGGGTGAAAGAGAGTGCGTTGCATATGGTTGCAATTGACAAGTCGGTAGTCAGGAAAGAGGAGGCAGATTTCCATGTAAAGTAAGAATCCCTAAGTTTCGAAAGCATATCATTAACATTGCAATTCCAGCGCTGCGATTAAATTAATATAAAATCGAAGTAAGCATCACAGTTATCAGACATGGTTAATATGGTCTTTGCTGATGCAATCCATACTTTGCCTTTTGCTGCACCATTTTATAATATGCCACTTGCTTGCAGCTGCACAACATTGGACCAAGTGCCATCAGTGACACCATTCTGGAGGTGGGCTGGCCGTTCGCTGCCCGGGGCGAATTTCTTCTCTATATTTTTCATATTCTAACTCTGGGACCTCTGCAGTGTCAAACAAATCCTGATGTCAACCCACAGGATATAAAGGTAGGAGTCTGCTCTAACCAGCATCTTTATTTGCTTTTTTACGGGATGGAAAATATAAAAATGGTGACTTTAAAAAAAAAAAAAAGTGAAGTAATTATAGTAATAAGTTTCTTCAGTGGTCATTGGTCAGACCTTTTCTTCTAGTTTTAGAGTTAAAATGTCAAACCTAATTTAAAAAAATATCCCTTCAAGAAAACTTCAATTTCCTTTAGTTTTATATTGCTCATGGTGACTTGTCATTTATTTAGCCCTTTTTAATAGGCAGCTTTTTTATATGGTTTGATAGCAGCACAACCAAAATGAAATCAGAAATAGACATGTTTGGGAGAATTGGTACAAAATGCAATTTTTAACATCGTTTTTTTGGTCTATTGCCAAAAGACAGGAGGATCTTTGCCAAAACAGGCTCTTCCAGCTGTTGCCAATAGCAAGTGGTGAAATGTGACAGTTTGCCAAGGGCCATCTCGGTGCCCTGAGAACTCCCAGACTGGAATGTTCAGGACCTGATCATTCTTTATGGAAGCTTAAAGAGAAGCCTAGAGCAGAGCTACTCAAACTGCTCTCATTAACAAGGCCTTCAAGTGTCCAAAGAGCTGATCCCATGCAAATTAAGGTCCAAATTTGGCTTTAAGCTCTTTCTGGAAAGGAAATCGATTAATTAGCATAAGCCCTCGAAAATGTCACATTTGTATGAAAACAAAAACAAAACCTCGTTGATCAGATGTTGTCCTCGGAAGGGAACTTCATTTAAGAAGGAACATTCTCCTACTAGCTACGAGGACACAGTGTCTCTGTTAGAAATGGGGCAAGGACAGGCTTCATGGAATACTGACTCGACCGTCCAAGACACAGCAGGTCTGCCTCTACTCCCAGCCAGTGACATGGGGTCACTGCCCGTTATGAAACGCTTTCTTTTTCAACCCAACATGACTCCTATTCAGACAGGAAGACTAAAAGGGGGTTCAATGGTAAAAGACTTAAGGGGTAACAAGCCTCCTTCTTCATGGGGAAATAATAAATAAGGCCACTTGTATTACATAAAATTATTTAAAATACTTCCTCCCTGGAATTCTTTTCCCATTTCCTCTCCCCTCTTCATTGAGATGATTGTAACGTCTTCAAGGACAGTAGCTTATTATAAAATAACATCTTCAAATGTGCATGCATAGTGTTTAAGTAATTAAAATGTTCACATTTCCTGCTCTATATTTAACATACATTAATACTATATTTCAGTCTTAGAGTCTTGGAGGTCATGATTACCCAGAAGGCTTCCAACTCTCTTTGAGGGTAATATTTAGCTTATATCTGGCACTATTTATGTATGTTTGTATATATTATGTGATTTGTTTAAAGTGCCCCATGTTGGTTGTAAGTTATTTGTTTCTTTGTAGCAATTTAACAATTATCTGCAGTGACAGGGACAGCACTAAGATGACTTGCTTTCAATGTCGACAGATTCATGCAATCTCAGTAGTAGTATATACTAAGCACCTGGCATTCCCTGCTACCCAGTTATTTTTTAAAGTATAGACTTTGAAAATCTGTCTGAGCCTAGTGATTTTTAAAAAGCAGTTTAATTTTGATTATTTTCTAAAACTCTCAATCTATGGAAATAGAATATAAGATTTGATTACAATATGAAGTAATAGCTCCCTAAAATAACTAATTATAACAACTTTGTTGAATTCTTGAAATTTTGAATTTATTTAAAAAGTTGAAATATTATTTGCAGATTTTCAAATATTTTACTTTTACCTACATTGAATACATGCCCCAGAGTCTAAAAGGGTTTTTAGTCAATCAATAAATTTCAAAAATTAATAATCAGTATACTTTATATCAGTGGCTATAAGCAATTGAGAATACTTGAAAGTTATTTTCCTCTTAAGATAGTTAATAATTTCTTGGTGAAGTTGCTATTAACTTACTTGGCAACTTATTAATATTTCTTCCTAGAGAACACAAAAATAAACACTATTCTCTGTCTTAAATACGAGTTAGAAATTAGTGAAAAACAAATTAGTTCTAATCTGATGCTGACTTCAACAGAATAGTCTGAGAAATTTGTAATTTTAATATCAATTTCAGATTAAATTAGCACCACATCTTGTTGCTGTTTTTTTTATTAAAAAATTATAGCATAGATAGTTTTATTTTTAGTAAGAAGCAGAGAGAGGCTAGGTTTAGTAAAACGAACAGGGAGGCAGAAATGTATTTGTAAAGGCAGGAATTAAATTCCTGTTTTCAATCTTACTTATCCAGGAGTGAACAAAGGTCCAATTCCTTACTGTTTGATTCTACAATGTCTCTGTAAGGAGATGGTAGGTACCAAGTGTCTCTTAAAACACCTGCAACCTGTGAACAGTTCATGTCTACAAGTCCTTCTACTTTTCTGAGGATGCTTCAGCCCCTACTGGACTAGCCCCCAAAATGTCCCAGGCCAACCATGAACCTATCAGGGGAGAGCCCCCATCTCAGCTTTCTGAAGTAGAGAAATCTACACAGTTTCCACACTATGTTAGCCTCTTCGACCATTCAGTTGATTTCCTTTTAGAAAAATCCAGTTTCTTTTATGTTCAAATACACTTTTTTAGTCAACCTCTCCCTTCCTTGTATGTTCTCATGTTTGCCCCAGTTACCACTGGAAAAGCTCTCTTTCTTTCATTTCCTCTTTCCAATCCCTAAGGATCCCTATGGAAACTTGCTTGTGGAAAAGAAACCACCAAGATTTCCTTAGAAACATTTTCTAGGCCACCCATTCCAAGGAACCAGTGCCACCAACTCTAAAGCCTTTGAAATTTCTCAGATATCCCCTGAGAATCTCTACAACATTCCCACATACATTCTCATTCTCCCCTAATGAAATCTATTTCCACCTAAATATCATCATTTGATAAAATGCACTTAACACATTGATTTTTTGTTGTTGCTGCTATTTTTTAAATTACTCATATGGCAACAGTCTTGCGTATTATTATTTTTATTACAAATACACAATTTAACAACATCAAAGCCATATTGTGGATTAAGTAGATTTTCTGCGGACTGGCTTAAGATCTGAACCATCATTTAAAATGCCATTTCTAAAGAGAAATGCATTCTAAATGCCAAACATCTAGCCTAAAACCTTCTGAAATACCACCAGTCTATAAATTGAATATGTATTCCAAATACAACATAAGTCTCCAAGTCTTCCCACATTAGCCTCAGGGTCCAATAAGACCTTTCACACAAGGTTCAGTTTTCACAGTAGGAACTGGCCCACTTTGTCTATCCCACCAACTTACCCAAATGTCCCCCAAAGTTTGAGGAGGTGACACCAGTATTTTGTGGTCTTAACATATGTTACATTTGAGCAACTTATTTGTCTTCCTGTCCTAAGTGCTGTCTCACCTTTGCATAGCGTTTTTCCTTGGCATCTCGCACTTGGCTGTTTATTACAAAATCTTGGCAATTTAAATAAATCCTTTACTCCTTATGAAAATTTTGGCTCCTTAGGAGGGTTTCGTTTTTCAACCTCATCTTATCTAAAGATTGTAGGCTTTGGAGAGTTTGCAGGACTCTCCAAATGCTAGGATAAAGCCCACCAAAATAAGAAAATTGGTAGCCTGAAACAATTATCTTACTGTCCTTATCACACAACCTCTTGTGTTCCCATCTGAGGACACCAGGGCCCACCGTGAAGTCAACACAGGGACATAGAAGTACCTGGGGCTCACTCCCATGCTCACTTTTGCCTCTTAGTGAAAAGGTTGCTGCCTTTTTTGGGTTTCTGTTCCTCTCCCGATAGTTTCTGCTTCATCAAGTTCATTTCTGTCTTCTATAAACCTCCAGGCATAAGCAGATGTCCATGAAGGTTACTTCTCCAGGCTTCACGGTCTAGGTCAGAGGTAGACGATTTCAGTGTGGCAATGTCTTCACATCGTACCATCTAAAACATTTTGAAGCATTCAACCATCCGCACCATCCAAACCAACCCATTAAAGCTAATGTGTTCCAGATCCTTCTTGGAATAAAATTTTAGAGTTGAATAAAGTATTTCTCAACTATGCTAAAGGCAGTGAAATAATTGTGTCAAACTACTAGTTTTCTTATTTTGGTGGGCTCTAGCCTAGAGTTTGGAGAGTCCTGCAAACAGGCTACAATCTTTAGATAAGATGAGGTTGAAAAACGAAACCCTGCTAAGGAACCAAAATTTTCATAAAGAGTAAAGGATTTTTTTTTTAAATTGCCAAGATCTTGTAATAAACAGCCAAGTGTGAGATGCCAAGGAAAAATGCTATGGAGTGTGAGGCTGTACCTAGGAGAAGAAGACAAATCAGATGCTGAAATGTAACCCATGATAAGACCACAATACACCATTCTGGGCCCAAGTTCAAGAAGGAAGAATCCAGAGCTAAAAATGGTCTGAAAGAGTCTATAGACAAGAAAGACTATAACATGAGAGAAAGCCAGTGCTTTTCATAAATATCTGGCATTAGAGCCATGGAAATCGGGAGGTTGCCACTGAGATCTAGTCTCCTGAACAAGACCAATACCACAGGAAGTCCAAATCACAACCAGACAGTGTAACAGTACAAACATGGGAAGCAGAAACACTGAAACAGTTCATTCACTGAGGATTATAGGCCAGCGTTTAGAATCAGTGTGCCCCCAGACAGTGGCTTGGCAAATTTGCATAGATTTGTCTTATCCTGAAGACTGCTTTCTTCCTCCATAACTGCCTTCATTTATTGGTTTCCATTAATTCAGAATGTGGACATGCTTGTTAACTTCCTAGAACAACAGTTTTCAGTCATCTCTCTTTTTCTCTCTCATACACACACATATACCCCTTAAAAATCAAAGCACAAAAGGAAGAAGAGTATTTAGCATATCTTTACCATTAACTACTGACTTCTTTTTTGAATCATTTTGAGGCCCTTGAACATTGGAGCCATAATTTATTTCACAGTGAAAGCATTCTTTGATGTCTGTTACTTGCTCCTTTAATGCTTGGGCTTCTACTCTAAACTCGCCATCAGGTGGGGGAGGACCTAGCTGTTTATTATTTCAGAAGATCTAATCAGAAGAACAGTATTCAATTTTAATATTCTTCCTCTGCAATTGTGCTGCACGAGTGGCAACTACAGCTTGCTCCTGGGTCTGACCCCTTCCCCTCTGCCAGAGGTCCTCTGCTTTCTCTGTCTTATGGGAATGCTCTTTGACATGGAGGCTTTCATTCACTTTCCACTCTTAATGGTGCTTGTAGACCACCAAAGACAGAAATATACACACTCTGGGGTCCGCTTCTTTTTACCTTGTCTTCTCTTTGAGATGGTCTTTGGGTTCACATGTCTATTTTAAAATGTGGAAACACCATATCTAAAGACTGAGAAAATCTTCAACATTGCTAACAGGAGGGAGTTGATTCTTTTGGTTATGCTTTGCATGAACTTTTTTCAGGAGGCAAAAGAAAAAAGTAGGGTTTTTCTTTTCCTACAAATTCTCGACATTTATGTCTTAAAGAAAATTACATGGTGGACTGACCTCCTAGGCTTGTCTCCACTTAGGTTTAATTATAGACGAAGAAGTACATGAGTGTAGTCTACCGTTACTTGTGTGCTAGGAATACCTGAAACCCAAAGACAAATTAGAAACAAGAAAAGAATGGTATGCATTGCTTTTGTTTGGATTCACAGTGCCCTTAATCTCATTTCATCTAAGCCTTTCCTTCAAATGCTACATTTCCAACTCTATAGCACATTCTGACTACACAGTATCCCTTTAATCCATAAATTTAAACCTAGACCAGAGTGAAGAGTTTGGTGAAGAATTATGAAAATAGAAAGCTCTTTTGGGGGTCAAATTCTAAGTACCAGCTGGAAAAAGAAATGTATTTCCCAACAAGTCTTTACTTATTGCAGAAAGAAGCCATTTTCATTTGTTCTAAAGAAGATACTTCTGTGTTTATCACCAGTTTCTGACAGCATTTAACAAACTATACTCAGAACTGAGTGTCTGCCCAATGTGGGTGCTAAGAGGTCAGCCTCCTTTGACCCTAAAGGAAAACTATGACCTGTGGGTTCACGGGCAGTTGTAAACGAGGTTCCAAATGTTCATCTAGAAAATGGGCTTTAACTGTTGTTTACATTTCTTGGATAACTTCTTCAGTTATAATTGCTTTGTTTTGTTTTTTGGAATAATTTCTGGAATGCCATTTGAGAAAACTGGTTTACAAGCCAGTTGAAGGCTTTTTGACCATGGTGTTTAAGGGTAGCATTCCTCTCTTTTTGTAAAAGTGTTACAAAAAGAAAAGAGCATGTTCTATCAACCCTGACACCGGGACATGCTCATTTTCTGGCTCAAAATAAGCCCTGTGTTTTAGCAAGAAACCACTTATAAATATTTGTGAATGTTATACCCTAATAGGATTTCTTCTTTATTTGTACACAAGACACAGCCAATGAAAACACATAGGAAGTTTGAATTTTCCTCTTTGGGGGATATTGTTTTACTACTACTATTACTGCTGCTACTATCATACTAATAATAGGCTGAGACTGAGGAATAAAGAATCCTTCCCTAGTTCTTTCCAGCACCTCTTCTCTGTGATTAACTGCAAAGTTAACCTCTGTAACATAACTGTCAGCAACTTGTGAAGAAAAGAAAAAGGAGTTGCACATCTGAAAACAAACACTACACATGCACGCATGCTCCCACATGCACATGGATTATATAATAGAAAGCACATGAGAGGTTAGGGATTTTCACAATTCCCAATTTTCTAGACTCACATTTTATCTTTTTCTATAAAGGCTTTTCTATTAGACCCTCCATCATTGAGCATCTATGAGCAACTCTTGGGCTTACCCTCCTCCTCACAGTGCCAGGCTCCACCATGGTCCTGGAATGTTCCAGCACCTATGGAGCTGGCCGGCCCAAGGTGCCATCTCGCCCCCATGCACGCCATCATCCCAGGGCTTCAGCCACTGGTCTTCAACATCGCCTCAGGCTGCCCTGCCCCTGAGACATTCAACCCAACACCCTTTCCCCTCCAATTCAATCCCCTGTTTTTATGTTGTTTCACTTCCTCTCGCCACTGGGTTTTCCTGCCTTAGTTTTCCTTCCCGAATCTTCTTCATCTCCCTGTTTTCTGGTGTGTCCTGGGAGACTCTCAGTGACCCTATGCTTTGCATTTCATGTTTTCTCACTGGGCAGCTCAGCGCAGTTAGCAGGGGGTTTTGGCACAGCCCGATGGGCACAGGTGGGCACAGGGGTAGGCACACAGGACATCGGACAGAGGCTCAGGGCGTGTGCCTGGGCAGTCAGGAGAGGAGAGCAGTTCCGCACGCTGGGAAGCTGGACGTGAAGGCTCTCGGTGAGGGATGAGTCTACAAAAACAAGCAGAGGCCACATCCAGCACGTAAACAGGGGTCCTCAAACTTTTTAAACAGGGGGCCAGTTCGCTGTCCCTCAGACTGTTGGAGGGCCAGACTATAGTTTAAAAAAAAACTATGAACAAATTCCTGTGCGCACTGCACATATCTTATTTTGAAGTAAAAATACAAACGGGCAAAAACACCCGCATGTGGCCCGTGGGCCATAGTTTGAGGACGCCTGACGTAAGACATGTGCGTGCCCAGCTCAGGGGTCTGGATTTTGTCTTTCTGTCTGTCCTGTTGAATTTTCCAGATCCTTATGACCCACTGTGCACTGTTATTTCATCCTTTTGTGGTGCCTCCCACATCTGCAACGTAGGAATGTCTTTGTCCCATTCCACAGAGATGTGCTGCTATGATTGCTCCCTCGAATATAAAGAGAGACTGTGAAAAGGAAGACGAAATTCTCAGGCGTGGCAATGAGGAGCAAAAAAATGAGGTTCCTGTATTCAGTGGGTGTAAAATACAGAAGGGTAATGGGAGAATTATGTGTGATTTATCGGAACTCTCAAAATGTTTATTCAGCCATCCGATGAACCCAGCACGGAACCTGAGATAAAATTGTTAAGTTCTAGAACACTTGCAAAACAGACTCAGAGCTGAGAAGGAGGTTCCTTCCAGCACAGTGGGCATGTAGTGTGCTTTGGAAAAGTTATTTTCATTAGGACACGGTTCTGTTTTGAAGGAGCGCTTCTCATGGGCACAGGAACATGGCGCTCAGCCATGGGGATGTCTCGTTTTGGGGCACATCAAGCTGTTTCCCCAAGTGACGCTGGCACCTCGATTTTCTCCCACCTCAGGATCCATGTCCCCACACAGAATGTTCCTCAGTTTACCCAACCCCACTATATAATGAGAGGAAAGTAAGGAGAGAATCATGACTCATGCCTGTCAAGTCGCCTCTATGTTTTCTGTCCTGAAGGGGAAATGACTTCTGCTTGCAAATAACTGAAGTGCCCTTCAACAGATGAAGAGACAAAAAAACTGTGATGCAGCTACAGAAAGGAAAATTACTCAGCAGTGAAGAGGAACAGACTATTGACACACAAGTGGGATGAATCTCAATATAATCATGCTTAGTAAAAGAAGCCAGTTTGAAAAGATGAGGCTCTATGTGACACCATTTATGTGACTTTCTTGGACAGAGACAAAACTAGTAATAGAAAATAGAGTAGCAGTTACCAGTGGACGGGGTGGGAAAGGGTCTGACTATAGCAGATAGCAGGACAGAGAATCTGGAGTTGAAGAAGGGCTTCTGTGTCTCAATAGTGGTAGTAATAACACAAATCTGTATATGTGTTAAAATCCATAGAACTAGACATGAAAAGGTTATTTTTTTCTGTATTTTAATTTGAAAAGTAAAATTAAACAAACAAAAAAAGAAAAAAAAATCTTCCCCTTACAAGATAAGCTCCTTAGGAATGCATTCTCCATGCTTCGTGAGTTCCTGTTCCTTCGAGAGCCTCATTCTTTGTCAGTGCAGGTCATTCTGCTGTTGAATAGGCTGCCAATTAATCACACCATGTCTGAACTGTCACGTGAATCATACTTCATTGAGGAAAAAAAAATTGCCTGGAGTTCAAGGCCAATGAAAAGGTAACCACTGTTAATGCAGTTGGATGCGACATCTCCTGCTTTTTGTCTGCAGCCCGCTGCGTCCCCGGAGGACACCCCCGAGCTGAGCGCCTTTCTGCGAAACTCTACCATTCCTCACCTCGTCCGGAAGAGGGACGCGCCCATGTTCGAGTTCCACAGACAGAGCCCTGCAAAAATACTGGTGAGTTCCCTCTGCGGGCACAGAACTGAGGCAAAGGATCGGTCGGATCGGGCAGAACTCCCAAATGCAGATGGTTTTAACTTCGAGTATTGTTTTTAGTCTTCTCTGATGCTCAGTCTTCTCTGATGCTCAGCCTAACATTTTTTGGCGGTACACATTGTGAGAAATCAGTGGCTTTTCTCGTGAGGACTAAGGAGCATTTGCAATATGACCTTTTCACTTTTCTGAACGTGCCATAGAAGCCACTTTAGGGAAATAATGGTGAAAATATCAAATGTGACCTTTAATCCATTTCGGGAACATGAAGGCTCAGTTGTTAGCCCATTCGCAGATGCTGAGCTGGTGAGAGTTTGAAGTGACCATAAAGAGGCACTGCCCATCTCGTGGGCCATTGGTGTGTTGCGCTTGTCCCAGAATCTCAGAGTGACCCTGCTTGTGTAGAAGAGGCAAGAATGGTGTGTGCATGTTTCCTGAGCCAAACCTGCTGTAGAGTCTTAGCATTGGGGTCTGTGTTCGTTTGAACTTGAGCTTAGCCCTCAAGTCAAGAACTTGACTTGAACTTGACTTGACTTGACTTGAAGAACTTGAGTCATTATTGTTGATTCAGTTCTCCCCCTTGTCCCAGTGCCCCAGCTTCTAGAGCTTTATCTCCCCCTGTGAACATCCGTCCTCTTCCCTGAGCATGTGGCAAGGGCACGAAGCCAATGTCAAGGCTTCGTCTGTGTTCTCCAGACCATCTCTGTAAACAGTAGGTCGCTACAAGCGTGTTCTCCAGCTATGCAGAAAGAATCAGAGACCACCTCAAAAAAACGATATCCTCTTCACAAGCAAGCAAACAAACACCCAGGGCTGGGGGCAGAGATGGGCTGGGAACACTGTGTCCCAGTGCCTAGGGTTGGGGCAAAGGCTGGGCAGAAGCTTCCTGCCCCAAAAACTGCAGCGCAGAAGCTCAGTCTAAGAGGCAGTGCTTTGTGGTGATGCCAAATCAAAAGTTGCAATGACAAGCCAAGGGCTGTCCATCCAAAGAGGCAAGAGAAAGGGAGAGACCATTGGCAGAAGGCCTCAGGGCAAATGAGAAATAACAGTGGAAAGGTGGAAATAGAACTCAGAAGACCCTGCACCAAGGAGGGTGCTATAGTTATTTCTACAGGGGCAACGGTCACTGTCCTGGCCAGGTTGAAAGCCAATGAACATCCAAGTGCACGCTGCTAACCTTCTCTAGAGGGTTCACCTCAGAAATTTGGAATAGCTCCTAGGCTCAGCCAAGGGCCACAGTGCTCTGGCTCCTTTCTCCTCCTGTCCACCCTATTGAAAGCCCACGAGGGTAGGTGACATGTTTGGTTTGCTCAGCATGGCTTCTCCAGGGTGTAGCATAGTGCCTGGCTCATTTGTTGAGCAAATGTATAAATGACATGGCGGATGAACTCATCACAGCTTTTTCCAAAATGCTCTTGGCATGCCATTCCACCTGTTTTTAATCTGACTCCCTGATCACAAATGCTTTTAACCCTAAATTAAATTTTAATTAATTGATATATCATGAGCAGTTTAAAAGATAATGTTGTCAGTGACTAAATTCACTAGCCACCCTACCTCCTAAATTCAAAATAAAGTGGCTGTTATGACAATGTATGAATATGCTTTGGGGAATATAATTGCTCCAGCCACTCACTAATCTGAAATAATTCAAAGTACCTTTATCACTTGAAAAAAGCAAATCTCTGCTCGAGAAATTGAATTCCCAACTTTTGCATTTGTATGACTGAAAGGGGTAATCATAAGCTTCATTTATAAAATTGGAAAATTGAAGGTCAAAAAAGGATTTGCAAGAGTTAAAATGTAGAATGACAATATGACATTTAGAATGTTAACAATCACTTGCCCCCTCAAGGAAATGTGAATGTCCTTAATGCCACTGAATTATACTCTTAAAAATGGTTAAAATGGTTTTTAAAAAGTGTGTCTTAAACATTCTTTGACATTCATTTACTTCATCTCGACTATAAAAGATGTTTCTAACCTGGAAATGGGCAGAAAAGTACAATGACCAAGTCTTACTTAAATAATCAGTTAAACTTCCAAATGAGGAGCATTTATTCTAATAGGAGTACCTGAAATTACATGGCAAAAAGCTATGACAATTGGAAGATTATGAATCAAGTACCAGTAAATTTTTTATGACACTATAATGTTTTTTGAAAACATAAAAGTAGGGAACTCATACACTATTTTTTAAAAATAAATTAATAAAACTCCATATATTATCACCTAAAAAAAGGTTCCAGGGGGAAAATTAGAACAGAAAACAAAAATTGACATCTGTAGAATTCTAACATGCTGCACCAACAGGGAAAACCCTCTGAAAGCCAGTGTCTAAACCTGTGTAGAACTAACAATTTGAAAAATGAAGATTCAAGTGTTTTTCAATTTCTACTTCATTGGACATTCATGGGTACACTGAGGCTGTGGAGAGCAATAACTAGAATTTTTTGGAAAATTCTATGCACTCGTGTTGCAGGGTCAAATATTTTTCTCCTTCTGTTGTTTCTCATTAAATATTTTTGATGTAAGATACTTTTTTAACTTCTGAATATCACCAAGACATATTTACTCACAGATGAGGGCCAAGGCAATCTTTGATTTCTGTATCTGATTTTAACTCCTATTTTATTTTCTCTCTTATTGGTTCAAATATTGCAAATCATTCACCTCCCCATGTCCTCAAGTCAAAACAGCTCTGGGGTGAGAGTGATTATGCAAAGTTTATTCTAAAATCAAAAGCTAAATAAGACCTCCTACGGTTTCTGTTTAGTTAAAAACAACTTACTGCATCACATTTCTGATTAGGAATCTGAAAGCTCCAAATGCCAACATCCTGTGCTGGGATCATAATTTCCAATTTGCATAAGAAAAATTCATATCTATAATACTGGGAAATAATTTTTCCTCTGCCTAGGAAGGAAGGAAAGTATATTCTTTCCTCCATCTCCCTCTCTCCAAACTTTCCTGTCCTCCCTCTCACTGCTAGGCTTATAGCAACTCTACCTGTCTTGACTCCTTCTAGACTGAGACAATTGGCCACTTCCTGAAACTATGGCATCCCTTGAATTCCCCCCAAACCATTCTCTTCTGGTTCTGTCCCTACCTTTTGGCTGGCCCCTTCTTAGAATTTCTCTTCTAAGATTTCTCTCTCTGCCCCTTCTTCAATGCCCCTGTCCCTCAGGATAACATCTCTGGCCCTTTTCTATTCAAGGCTTGAAGGGGTCATCTGGATGTCTGATAGCCATCCCAGCCCCCATGCGTCCAAAGCTCGTGTGTCCATAGCTCCCCAAATGAGCCTCTTCTGGAGAATTCCTGGGCTCTGGAATACCATACCCACACCCCATGCAGTGCTAGTGCACAGAGCACCCTCCACCCCACCCCATCCTGACCTTCAGTTATTCACCAATGTCAATTCCACTTTCTATACCTGTGGTCCCCAAACCCCCATGCCATGGACCAGTACTAGACTGTGGCCTGTTAGGAACCAGGCTGCACAGCAAGAGGTGAGCAGTGAGTGAGCAAGCAAAGCTTCATCTGTGTTTACAGCCGCTCCCCATGGCTCACATCACTGACCTGTCAGATCAGTGGCATTAGATTCTCAGGAACGTGAACCCTACTATACACTGCACGTGTACAGGATCTAGGTTGCAAGCTCCTTATGAGAATCTAATGCCTGATGACCTGAGGCGGTGATTCTAGCACTGGGGAGTGTCTGCAAATGCGGATTATCAGAGAAGTCTGACTGTACAATAAATGTGATGTGCTTGAATCATCCTGAAACCATCTCCCCTCCCGCCCCCCAGCCTGTGGGAAAATTGTCTTCCGTGAAACCGGTCCCTGGTGCCAAAAAGCTTGGGGACTGCTGATCTATACTTTTCCAAAATTCATCTTCCTCTTTCTGGTCCCGCTGCCTCAGTTCAGGGCTTCAGCTTCCCCCACTTAGGCTCTTGCAACAGGCACTTGTCAACCTCCTGCCACCTGCTCTCCTCTCCCCTCTCTTTCGTTACACACAAGCTGTCCCTGTCCAATACAAACCTGATCCTACCTCTTGATTTAAAAGCATCAGGGCTCCCCAACGCCTTTTGAATAAAAGCTAAGCTCCATAGCAGGAGTAAGGAGATTCTTCGACACATAGACTTCCCCTTGTTGCTCTCTTATTTCCATCTGTCCGTCTCACCCCCATATACCCTGCCCTGCCCTCCCCTTTCTTGAGCACGCCTTGATCATGTATGACAGAACCTTGGGTCCATCATCGTATTCTGCTAGGTAACATGTTCAAATTCTTCAAGGTTCATTCCTAGCCTCGCCTTCCCCAGAATCCTCCAACAGAGCCAACTAACCTGGGTCCCCAACTAACCTGGGTCCCCAACTAACCTGGGTCCCCAACTAACTGGGTCCCCACCTACAGGGACTTCACAATAACTATTAACCCTGGCTCTCTTCTTGCCTCCGGAGGGTGGGGTAAGCGTGTCAGTCGTGGAGTGCAGGTAAACATGACAGTCCTGCCAAGAGCCACCAACCACAGAGCTTTGAGAATTCTTGCTCCTGCTGTGGGTACAAGGGCAGCTCAGCCACTTGTCGTTGGAAACATCATGCATAATAAACAATCAGTTGCACTGGAATTTATCAGATATACATTATGAACCACTTTGTTTGCAGAGAATTTTGAGATCTCGAAAAAAGTTCTCATGGGTTATTCTGTGGTTTATCAGTTTTGTTAAAGTGATACGCCTCAGCATTTCTGCTGCTTCCCAGAATATCCAGTAGATTGACCTTTATTGACCTGGTAGGCTAGTGCTCAGTGCTTGAGAGAAGAGAAATAAATAAGCACAGGCTACAAGAATGAATTCTAATCCACGAGGGAGCATAATTGGAGAAGTATTCTGTGCACAGCACATGGAAAATGGGCTGTGATGTCTCCATGATTATTAATGATGGACACACATTATTTTCATGCTGGGAGCTGATCAGAAAATCGAATCTATCTACGGCCACACCACCCTGAACGTGCCCAATCTCATCTGATCTTGGAATCTAAGCAGGGTCAGGCCTGGTTAGTACTTGGAAGGGAGAAAATCTGATCTGATGGATAGAATGTCTTCATGAATAAATGCCTTCCAAGAAGATGCATTTCATATGTTAAAGGTTACTCATTTTACATCAGGCAACTCTAGAAACTATTTTAAAACTGGTTTAGGCCGGGCGCAGTGGCTCACACCAATAATCCTAGCACTCTGGGAGGCCGAGGCAGGAGGATCACTCAAGGTCAGGAGTTCGAAACCAGCCTGAGCAAGAGCAAGACTCCATCCCTACTAAAAATAGAAAGAAATTAATTGGGCAACTCAAAATATATAGAAAAAAATTAGCCGGGCCTGGTGGCGCATGCCTGTAATCCCTGCTACTTGGGAGCCTGAGGCAGGAGGATCGCTTGAGCCCAGGAGTTGGAGGTTGCTGTGAGCCAGGCTGATGCCATGACACTCTATCCCGGGCAACAGAGTGAGACTCTGTCTCAAAAATGAAAAGATAAAACTGGTTTAAAAAACAGCCTAATAAGCATGATTGGCAGAAGGATCTCCTTTACAACTGGATGTAATTTAGACAGAGAGAAGAATGTCATGGAACAAATGCTTGTTAGTGGGTCAGTCACTTTGAGTCTAATACAGACTCAGGGCCTTGCTCTGAAACCCCCCTGGACTTGCCTAATCCAACATCAGGTGCTGTGACTATCTGTAAGAAATGTCTCCCCAGTTCTGAGAAAATGAAATAGAACAATTTAATCACTGCTACAGGAAGATTGTTTTAAAATCCTTGGAAAAGAGCTTAAATTTTGTGTTGTATTTTGTGTTCCATTTTCTCTCTACATTACCGGTACAATTGACGCATCCTTAGTACCTGTGTTTTCTTGGTTGTTTCAAGTGTATTTTTCTTTATTTAAATCAATATTTTAGGAATAAGGTGATGGCCTCTGAAGAAATAAAATGCAAATGAACTGACTTCAGTGTTGACTCTGCCACTATTTAAAGACATTGATGCACTCCCGCTGTTGTTGTTTTTTGCAGAATTGTACAAATATCGAGTGTTTACAAATCTCCTGTGCAGTGGGGCGATTAGAAGGAGGAGAGAGTGCAGTCCTGAAAGTCAGATCACGGTTATGGGCACAGACATTCCTCAAGGTAATAAAAAAAAACAAACAATGAAGCACCTACACACCCTTCCCAGGGAACTGTTTCTCTTCTCAAAAGCCAGCAAGGGCCGGGCGCGGTGGCTCACGTCTGTAATCCTAGCACTCTGGGAGGCCGAGGCAGGAGGATTGCTTGAGCTCAGGAGTTCAAGACCAGCCTGAGCAAGAGTGAGACCCTGTCTCTACTAAAAATAGAAACAAATTAGCTGAACAACTAAAAATATATAGAAAAAATTATCTGGGCATGATGGTACATGCCTGTAGTCCCAGCTACTCAGGAGGCTGAGGCAGGAGGATCGCTTGAGCCCAGGAGTTGGAGGTTGCTGTGAGCTAGGCTGATGCCACAGCACTCTAGCCTGGGCAACAGAGTGAGACTCTGTCTCAAAAAAAAAAAAAAAAAAAGCCCAGCAGGAAGCCTTCTTTATAAAAGACTTTCAATTTTTTGAAAAATTATTTAAATTTTAACTTTAAATCTAAATTTTTAAATTTTTCTATCTTTTTAAAATTTGAAATTTTTAGAATTTTTTAAACTTTAAAATTGTTTTATATTTTTTAATTGGAAAGATTTAATTTTTTAATATTTTAAAGGAAATTTCTATGGAGGCGCTGAGCCAAGATGTGCTGGCCCTCCTTTCCATGGCGGAAGACGATTTAAATATCCTGAGTCCCTATGACCTTTAGATAATAGATTTAAGCCGGGCATGGTAGATTTTGCCTGTAATCCCAGCTACTCAGGAGGCTGAGGCAGGAGGATCACGTGAGCCCAGGAGTTCGAGACCAGCTTGGGCAACATAGTGAGATCCTGTCTCTTTAAAAAGAAAGAAAGAAAAAAGAGATAGTAGGTTTTAAAAATGTATGCTCAGCTCACTACTATATATACCCAGCGCCGGCAACTATTAGTCAATGAAAGGGCAGTGCATGTGAGAACACAGTACAAGCCATGTGTCCAAAAAAGTAAAAATAGAAATCGATTTAGAAGGAAAAAGGAAGATTGTTCTAGAAAGTTCGTCTTACCAGGTGGTTCTGCCACCTGGGCTCTAATGGGGACAGCGTGTCTCAGCAAAGTTCTAGGTGCACACGATGTATAGGTTGCTCACTGCTGCGGTTTACCAATACCGTTGCTTCCTGCACAGCCAGGAATAATTCCACTAATTGTGTAAGTTTAAAATCTTTCTTATATTAAGAAAATGAAATTTTTCCTTTCAGAAAGTGCTGTTTATTTAAATGATACAACTGTGTTATGACCTTGTTGTTTGGGGGAAATATTTAAAAGAAAACACAATGTAAATGAAATCTCCATTCATTCATTACTGCTCATATTTGAACCACTAAAAAAAGCTCATCTGGGCGGGTCGTGGTGGCTCACGCCTGTAATCCTAGCACTCTGGGAGGCTGAGGCAGGCGGATTGTTTGAGCTCAGGAGTTCAAGACCAGCCTGAGCAAGAGTGAGACCCTGTCTCTACTAAAAAAATAGAAAGAAATTAGCTGGAAAACTAAAATATATATATATAAAATTAGCCGGGCATGGTGGTGCATGCCTGTAGTCCCAGCTACTCGGGAGGCTGAGGCAGGAGGATCACTTGAGCCCAGGAGTAGTCCATGAGGAAATGATGGGGGATTAAACTGGAGAAGAACAGTAGAGCAAGCGAGATGACGTATGCGTCAAGATTTGTTTTGGAGGAAAACCTAGCAGTACTTGTTGAATTTGTTGTGAGAGAATAAGAGAAAGGAATCAAGAATGACTCCAACCTTTTTTACCTCAGCCAAATGGTGAGGAAGGCTTGGGGGAGAGAAAACCTGTTTTAGGAGAGGAAACCAAGAGTTCTGTTTTAGACACCGTGTCAGTTACCTATTGCCGAGTAACAAATTTCCCCAAAAGCTAGCAGCTTCAACTAATAGACATGCAGCCTCTCACTCTGAGTCAGGGATCTGGGTACAGCTTATCTGGGTCATTCTGGTTTCAGTGTCGCTCGTGAGGTTACAGTCGAGATGTCAGCTGGGGCTGCAGTCACCTGAAGGCTCGACTGGGACTGGAGGCTCCATTCACAAGGTGGCTTAGGGATATGCATGGGACATTAGTGCCGTTGTCCATAGGCAGCCGCAGGGCCTTACTATGTGGGCCTTTCATTGATGCTGCTTGGGTTGCCTCCTACCATGGAAACTGGCTTCCCCCAAGCAGATGCGCCAGGAGAGAGCACAGCTTTTATGTTTCTTATGGCCTATCCTCGGAAGTCACGCTCTGTCATTTCCACAGTGTCCTACTGTTGGCACGTATCAGCCATATTCATTCAGCATGAGGGGCCCACATGAAATGTGAGTGCCAGGAGGCGTGAACCCCTGCGGGCCATCTCGAAGGCTGGCTACCACAGATACATTAACCAACTCTTGAATTTCCTCCTTTAGGAGGAAAATTGTCCGAAAGCGCAAACTATAAATCCTCTCTGTTTTTCTCTAAGCTGGGTATAACTTACATTATCACGATCGGTAGATTAGTTTCCTAGGGCTGATAGAACGAATGACTATGAACAGAGTGACGGAAAACAACCGAAATTACTCGCTCACTGTTCAAAAAGCCAGAAGTTCAAGACCAAGGTGTCAGCGGGGTTGGTTCCTTCTGGAGGCTCAGTGGATCAACCCACCCCATGACTCCCTCCTGGCTTCTGGTGGCTGGCGGTAATCCTGGGCATTTGTTGCTTTGTAAACACATCATTCCAATCTTCTCCTTCTCCTCCTCACCTTCTGCCCTGTGTCCTTGCCATATCCTTTTCTGTCTCTTATAAGGACCCTCTTATTGGATTCAGAGTCCACCCTAATCTCCATATAATCTCATCAAACCTTATCTCATTTGTATCTCAAAGACCCTTATTCCAGGTAAAATCATGAGATTCTGTGTGGACGTGAATTTTTAAGGGACCTTATTCAGCCCACTTCAGTCCACAATCTTACAGCCCCACTAGCAAAGCCTGACTCCATTTTGCCACAGTATTGTAATAATTTTTCTTTAATCTAAATAAGCTTCTTAAAATACTTCACTGGCCTCACTAGCATGGTGGGAAGTAATTAATTAGGATTTGACTCATTTTTGTTATGACTCTGTTTTCCTTCTGTTGTCTACACAGTTTTCCCACCTATGTGCAGAAACATCATCACTAATCTTGGGCAAAATTTTGAATCAGAGCAAAGTCAGGGTAGATGCTATTGAATTTTTTGGTAAACATTGGCAAAAGTTTATGTGTGAACATATGGGTGAGCATGTCTTTGAATTTTATATACGTATATCCATGTGTGAAAACTGCCTATCAGAAAAGTGATGTGTAAACTATGGCCACATATTAAAATCAAGTTCTAGGAGCAATGGTCCTGATTGAAATTAAACAGAATCCGTTTTCTCTGCCTTTGGTGGATCAATTCCATTCTTGCCTGGTTGTGTTCAAGGACAGTGAAGTTTCACGGGCTCAGTTTCCTCATTTGTGAAATGAAGAGATTGGATGATAAAGCTCCTTTCATTCCTAAAACTTCACTGATTCTATGGGCAGCTTGCATGGAACCACTTATAATAAATTATTTATGGTGTTTATTCTGCTTAGCCTGTCAGCAATATGCTTTATTAATAGCCTGCTTTTGTATTGTGTCGACACTTCGGTTGACTCAGAACAGACTATGTTCTCAGTGGTTCTCTAAACTTAAGGAACAGCCAGCCAATCTTTCCAAAGAGGTCTGTTTGTCTGCAAATAGCCAGGTTTCTATTGAGTGATTGCCATGGAGCTAGGCACCATGATGAATGCTTGCCTATGAAGGACTCATTTAATTCTTACAGCTATCCCCTGTGATATGTAGTATTATTGTCACCTGCATTTTACAGATGACCAAAACTGAGACATAGAGATTAAGTGGCCTTCCTAAAATGACATAGCTAGTAAGAGAGAGAATCTTGAGCTTTTGTCCTGTGTTTATTACTATGTTATACTATAGCTGGAGATTACTATATTATAACTGCCTTCTGTAGATTTCATACCATGATTACTCTACTACAGATTGCTCAACAGTAACTCCTATATTATAGATTATTGTACTACATAAAAATTGTTTAAATATCATGTATTAAAGATTTATAGTTTTTTCAAGGATTTATAAATTGCATAGCATGCTATTTCAGAACCCAGTAAAGAAAACATCATATAGTTCTTGAATTGGACTGTGCAAAACAGTAGTAGCAGCCACATATGGCTATTTAAACTTCAAGTATTTCAATTTAAATAAAATTAAAAATTCATTTCCTCAGTCTCTCTAATCACATCTCAAGTGTTCAAGAGTCAGTACACTCATGGCTACTGTATTGATTTATGTAGATTAAGAGCATTTCCATCATTGAAGGAAGTTCTATGGGACAGCACTGTGTTGGAATGTTAGAGAAGTATATTTCCCTTCAAAATTGCAGGATTAGATCATATAGTCAATTGTCATATCTATGAATGTAGACATGGATTGTGTTTAATATTAGCTTCATGATTTTCCTCATATCCCCTCATAAAGTAAAAATGAGCCCCACTTTTGCCTCATGACAGCGTCATCTACCATCTCAAAGGTAAAACCTTTATCAAGAATCCACTTTTTCCTAAGTGCAACTGATGCAGGGGGTGTCCCGATGAAAAGAGGAAAGCCCCCTGAATTTGCCAAGTGGGTCCTTGGCTTCATGCAGGAAAGAATTTAAGTGCAAGCTAACTGTCTGCAGGAAAGGTTTATTGAGACAGACAGACAACAGATCCTACCCTGCAGACAGAGTGGGAGTCCTCTCTCAAGCAGGAGGGGGATTCCTTATGGGACAATGGGAGTGTTTTTAAATGTTCAAAAAACCCATTGTTGAAACAGCCGTCCCCAACCAGCGTTGTCTTGTGATCAGGCCATAGAGGTTAATCATAAATGCTGTCGCAGAATGGTAAGTGCAGTTCATAAGGTTTCTGGTTTAGTAATTCATCTATCTTTGGGTGGTCA